ACCTTGCCAAATGATGCTGCTTCTTGGTTATATTTAACCAGTCTTGGAAATGAATTAGCCCATTTCACCAAACTTTTAATTTCCTTAATGGCTGATATGGACAGAATTCATCAATTTCAATATCCAATTACCCTCTTGACAAACTCTGAGGTTAAGACCCAATTGGAACAAATTATCAAAACTGAACACAATCCTCCAACTACAGTTTTGACTCTCCAAGACTTGTTTGCTTTAATCAGGTCAAATCCATTGACCATAGGTCACTTTGACCCCTGTGCTCAAGATCTTAAGGCAGTCAACACTTCATGTTTTTACAGGATCACAACTGTAGTACCAATCATCAGGTCCATTGACAAATATGAGCTCTTAAAAATTCATGCTTTGCCTATTGCTGAAGATACTTATATGGGAGCTCCTAAATGGAAGCAAGTCTTTTTGAGGCATCTCTTATCTCAGGGCTCAAAACTTTATGGTTTAAATTCTCTTGATTTACCTATATGCTTAAATCAACTGGGACAAGCTGATTGTAGGATCTGTAGATTTAACAGACCTCCTTCCCAAGAACTAGACCCCTGTGTGTCATCAATTCAAAATGGGGAAAATGAATCCACAATTAAAGTCAAGTGTCCCTTAAAACAAATTAGCACTCCTAGCAACACTGTTGTGCAGCTGGATAGTGATGAGTTTGCATTTGTGGACAATGACAAGGGAAGGATCACTCAGTACTGTTCTGGTTCCAAGAATTCTAGCATATCTGCATCTGAAAATTCTTATGAGTTACCTAATTCTGGAATTCTTCAATTTAAGCCTAATTGTCGTTATACAGTTGTGAATGGTCCTTTTGCTGATGTGTTGCCTAAACTTGAGAATATTGAAATTAATGCGGTGCAAGAAATACCTGCTGTCATGCCAGGGATCCATCAAATTTCCTCAGACATCAGTGAGCTACAAATTCATTTCAGAGACTACGGTTATATTTATATGATTGTCAGTCTCATTGTTGCTCATTATTCTACTGTGTCTTATTTATTTATGCTATGCTAAGATTTGTTATGTCTTACAAATTAGGAGATCCTCTCCCTCCGGGAGATCTGATGATGCTCAGGCATCTGTGTGATTTATTCAGTCTCCTACTCCTAAGCCTGCAATTTATCCTAGGTTGGAGATGGACTCCTCAACAGGAATCTTGTCCATTTGCTGATCACTTCCTGAAAAGAAATTCGGCTGGAAAACACAAACCAAAAAAGAGAACCAGAGGCCAGAAATTCTTTTTACAATTTCTCTTATTGCCTTTTACCCATATAAAAAACGCGGATACAAAAAATGGCACTTTCTCTCTCATCTGACGCGATTTTACATATTACGCGTTCAGCATCTCTTTAAAAGGATTGTTGTCCTCAAGGACCAACTCTTCCTCCTTTTCTTCTTCTACGGGTTTATCTGTCTCTTCCAGCCCCAGCAGATCCACAACTGGTTGGGCTTCCGGATCCTGTTGATCCTCTGGCATCAGCATCCGCACCAGCTCCCTCATGTACGATGACTGTACAAAAAGAGAAAAGAAAAAAGCCCCAAGCAAAGCATCAAAAATTCTTGCATGCGCTGCTTTGTAATTTACATGCTATTGTTTACCTTGCCTGAATGTTGAAACTCTTGGGGACCTAGCCCTGATATCTGCATAATTCTGAGAGAAAACTTCAAACTCTTCATCATCAGAATCTAGTCCATTAAAAAATATATTGGACATAGATCCTACCATGCATTCTTTAACTTTAGCTTTATCAAGCTTCAAAATTCTTTTCTTTCTCTATGTTTGTGAGCATGCACAGAAAAGCCAAGCAAGTATGGAAGAAAAGCATTGTTAATCATTTTTTACAAGAGCAAAAGAAAAATTGGCTAACCTTGTTCCTGATGAACTTCACAAGCCAGACCAAAAAGACAGCTAGGGACGTAGCCCCTGCCCCTCCAAGGCCCATGAAAACCAGGACCATGGCAGTCCACGGGTCCACATCTGCCTCAACATGCGCAACACCGTGCTTGATGTTGACTGTCACCTCCGGCATAGACAACAGCGCCCTGATTACGTGTGGCACCTCTTGGGCCACCATGACGCTTTGTTGCGTCAAAGGCGGCGCCCAAACCACAAACAGCGTTTTGCTTGCCGGCACGTGGACAACTGCCAGGTTGGCCATCGGCGCCACTGGGCAAGGCTCATCTGTATATACAAAATACTTTATTAATATGGTGAAAGGAAAATATTTTTTTGTGTCTTGGGTTAAGGTATGAGGTGTAGGGATATGTGTCATGTTGTAATGTGAGATGAAAATGCGATGTGAGTTGTGAGATGTCTATGTGTGTTTGTATGGACAAGCTGAAAAAGAAACCAACTCACCAACCACCGGCAGAACCGCCGCTGTTGAGATCTCCGGCTCTGGTGGCACAACTTCCTTGCACCACCTCCACGGCGTCACCAGCACTTGATCCATCTCGGACCAACGCCCGACGCACACCTTTGGAGACAGCAGTTTCACCTCCTACAAACAAAACTGGCTGTCATACCTATCACTCGTTCCACTTTGACCCGACACTCACCTTGAGGTCCGCCTGCCTGATGCAGTCCAAAAACAGCGTCGCCCCGACAAACGTCACGCGGCGCCCGTAGCCACTGGCGCCTCTCACCTCCTTGCCGCAGACGTCCCGACACAGGAACGCCCCTCCTTCCGGACCTCAGTCGGCCCCAGCAGCAGCAACCCCAACAAACACCAGAACCAACAGCCTCAGGAACGCCATCTGTGAAGATTTTGAAAAACTGTCATTTCTGAAAAAATATTTTTTTTTTAAAAACTCACTTTTCACTTGTTGGAGTTTCCTCTTGACAAATTTGAAGATCCCCAACAGCACAAAGTCACTTACCACACAAACAATTCGCGAAACAATGTTTGAGGCCACCAGCTCCAGGAGACCCATCAACTTTTGTCAACTTTTTCAGACAGGAAGTCGTTAACGATGCTGCGTTGTTCGTTACAAAAATCAAAAAGTTACCATCATAAAAATTTGAAAAAATTAATATAAGCTAACAATGCTCACCAAAGAACACCGCCGAAATTTCAGGCCCAACAAATCATCCGTTAACGAATGGCACTTGATGCCGACTGAAGAAGATATTATCATTCTTCTTGATCCAAACATCTGTTGGATTCATGCCTGATTCCTCCTGAGGGTTGGTAATAACAATTGCCATTCCCATAAAGCCTTTATGGCTCCTGAAAGAAACAGCAACAGAAAATAGGGCACTGTCGCACTGAGTCTTGCACTCGGTTCACTTGTTGTTCTTTTTTCTGCTGACTTTCACAAAAGGATGGAACCTTTTTTTTTATTTGTGCGGGGTGAGTTTGTTATCTTAGAAATACAGTAATTTACAGAAGACCCTTTTTGGTAGTTTCAGAAGAAACCTTTTAGAAAGCCTAGAAACAGGAAATTGCTAAAGCAAATATGATTACTGCAATTTCCTTGATGAGAAGTCTTTACAACTTCTCATGACTAGTTACAATAACCTTCCTCAGGTAATTAAAGTACAATCAATCCTGAAACCGTGGTGGGCTCAACTCTTTACAAAATGGGAGTGATATTTGTTTCTCTTGCTCTCATTGCGCCTGGTCATTATCACTGATGTGTAACCAGCACAATTATATTTCACTCAGAGCAATTTCCACTTTGTTCATTTCACGGATCAGGATTTCCGCTATTAGGGTCGAGATGATTGTTTCCTTTGTTTCCCCCATCTAGGCTGGCTAGGTTTAAATACCCCTGCTTGGTGAAATCTCAAGAGAGATCTCATCCAAGCTTCATACAGTAAACTCCATAGTCAAAACTCTGTTAAAGCTCAAACCTATTTCAAAGTAAAGACAAGCTGGACTTGTGTGTTTGTGAATTTGTATTGTTGTATTGAATGTTTGTATGTGGATGAGAATATTGTATAAAGGATATTAACCCAGAATAAGAACTTGGTTCTTTTATTCTTGACTCACAGTCCTGTAATAGAAAGGACAACACCCTCAAATCCCTATAGAGGATTTTGTACTTCTTTAATTTTCTCTTCCAGCACCTTCATTTTTCTGGAAGAATGACCCAAGACTCTGCCACATACAATCAACATTATCATACAAAACAATTTCTGGTTTATGCCTTCTTTTACATTATTGCATGTGTCAACTTTCTTTTATGTAGGAATGACATTTTTTCTTTAAATTATTTCATTCATCAATTATGAGTTAGATTTGGTTAGTTATTACTGTTTGGTTGGGTTATTTTGGTACTAGGTGAAGTGAATAGGTGTAACCTCTGGAAAATGAGTACGCAATTTTCGAAGTACTGTATTAAAAATTTATAATGAAGATATGCATTAAATTTCTTATATTTTTCTGTTTGAAAACCCTCTTTATCACAAACTCAAGGTGACAGCAAGGGGAGATTCAAGGAGAATTCACTTGCCAACCAGCCTTTGCTGACACAAACACTGATGCAACCATTGACAATAACTGGACCATCAAGACTCCCAGATGGAATTTCCAAAAACTTGGAAAAATGTCCTTATTCCACAAATGATGCTGCTGAGTACTTATTAGCTAAAGCTGCGATTTCCAAAATCAACAGAGGCCTTGATAGTCTTCCACCACTGCAACCACTACATTTTGCTCCTCATTGGGGTGAGTCTTTGAAAGTGACAAACAGTCCTAAAGCTATAATGTTCAGCAATATAAACAGAGGAATTATTTTGATGGATGGAAACCATTTGCTTTATTCATTTATTTAACGCAAGAAAGATTCAAAATCCAGTACTTTCCTGTTATCTCACTACCTACTTTCCTGTTATCTCTGTACCTTCCCTCTGACCAATTTAACCTGACCTAACCTAACTTCAACTAACCGCCTCCCAAAATCAGTTTCTGCTTTCTTTGGGTTTCTGCTGAAACTGATTTTGGAGGCATTTAGGTAAAGTTAGGTTAGGTCTGGTTATGTTAGTTAAAAGATATTTGTAACTAACATAACCTGACCTAACTTCACCTAACTGCCTCCCAAAATCAGTTTCAGCAGAATGCAGAAAAATATAATTCTCAGTTTCTGATAGCTTGTCCTGATTATGAACTTGTCCTAAAGATTTGTCTGGATGGTAGTGTGGTCTAGGAAAGTAGGTACTGAGATAATAGGAAAGTACCCAAAATCCTATGCAAAAGGATGAAGTTTTTTCTTGTCAATGCAGAAGACTGTCCCATCTCAAGTGGGGAGCTATTCTTTGTGTTACCCCACAAATGGTGCACACTGGGGTCACAATTGGTGCACATGGGCTATTCTGGGGTTAAAAGCATGCACCTGTGTAGACAAAATTGTCCTACCATTCCTGGGCTACATTTGATGCACAAATGTGACATGATAGGAATATCACACAAATGCACCAACTGTAACCTTGGTGTAACTTATATGTTTACAAATGTGCCCCATAGTAATCCTGGCGTGAACACACAATTGGTGCACCTTAGGGATATGCATGTGCAACAGAAGAATGTTGGTACACTTCAGGTGCACAGCAGGGTCACTGTGTAGAATTACAAACATATCCCCAGTGTGCACCAATTTCCCCACTGGGGATGTTATACATGCAGTACTGTTGCGCCTTAACAAATATATTTTTTCAATGTTTGTACACATAACCTATTTCAATCGGAAGGGAATCATGTTAGAGCTACTAAATACTGTACCATCATCTATTCGCAACACACACACAATTTTGTTTTTCACGTAGGAAATCCGATTAATGTTTGCTCCGGCGAGAAACGTGATGCGACAATCACATCAGTTCCATCAAGTACCATCACGAACCCCACATTCAAATCATCATCCAGCAGAACGAAGTAAGGACTGAGAATCCCCATTTCCGCGCAATCCCGAAGTAGCACCACTTTTACAAATGTTTAGACTGATGGCTGTACAAGGACACAATGGACAAATCAAACCATACTCGTATTTTTCATCATCCCCGTCGAGAATGTTGATGATTCGGCGTTTGTACGGGATGTCGCACAATGTTCGCAACATCGGTATTACAGAGCTGTGGCAGCGACATCTGTACGACGATGGCGACTGCTGCATCTGCGGTTTTTCAGCCTGCGACTATTTCAAGTGAAGCAAGAGGAAATTTAAAATGCCCTTAATGCCCTTAACAGTAACACTCAAGAAAATAGTGTATACCGCCGTTAGAACAAACTACAGTACTCAGCATACAACAAAATTTGTCTGTGGCCCCTAAAAAATGATATTTTATACTGCACTACATATGCTTCCAATAGTTGAACTTAAATTTGATTTGTAAGAAATGGAACATTAATGCAGCACTGCAGCTTCATGGACAACAGCTGTTACTTGAGATAATTGAAACATCATTAAATTTGCAATTGTTATCCTAAGTCATCAGAGATGATCAAAATAGATGCTAACTCCATTGAACATATTCTTTGCTGGATGATTTATTCTGTACTGATGTTACCTGTTAGTACAACATAAGTTGAGAAGTATTAATTCTTATGGCTGGGGATGTGTGACATGATCAAAAGTATCATTTAGAGAGTGCAAATGTGAATTTCTGTGATTCAATGGATTCAACCATGCAAGACCAGACCAACAATGAATACTCCACAGTTTGCTTCAGCACTCTGTTATAGATTGGGTGCATGTATAAAAGGTACATGACCATGCATAACCATAAATGAAACTGTCGGACAGTCAAAAGGCAAATGACAGGTGACCAGACGCAATGCAGATTTGGTCTGTTGAGCAAGACTGTTACTTTATATATGACCAGACTTGCTAAAGTACAACAGGGAAAAGCCACAACAAGAACAAGGTATTATTAATGCATTGTGGGACATGCTTAAGCTTCTAGGATGACACAATGCATACACATAATTATTTTCACATGCATATACAGTACATGTATTTTGTGTAGGTGTAAAAGAGGCAATGCATTGAACCTTGTAAAAATCACTAATTCTTACTCAAGAAACTCTACATTTCACTAATGTTCATCAGAAAGTTCAACAGCAGCTTCAGTATTGCTTATGTAGTTCGAACTTCAACAACAAGATTTCATAGATTCATATTGTTTAGTTTTTCATCTTTCTTTCTCAGCAGCACCATGTTTGTCACAACAATTTAATGCCAGAAATAATCCAAGTCTTCCAGTTCAAACCTTGGCTGATTACTCTTAGACAGCAATGAAATAAGAAAGAGGATTACAGTTTTAAAGAAAAGAATATATCTGGAATAATTCCTCAATCCTCCATTTTTAAACTGATGGTTACTATAGTGTAGAAGCTGGAAATTATATTCCCCTGAATTCTTTCAGAGGCATGACAATCATTAGATCAGCTTTTTGAAAGCCACTATCCGCTTTTATTAAAGCATATACACATGTACTTTTTATGAAGTGGTGTGATGAAAATGTGCATGCTCATGCTTTGGCTTCTTTAAATACTGTACAGTATGTAGCTTCAAAGGCAATTAGCCGAATGAATCTGGATCAATATTTTTTTGCATGTATACAGCAGTAATTAATTTTCTTCAGTGGTGCAATGCATCCTGATGGCAATTTATTTTGATAAGAGAGGAAAAAATTGGATTAATAAAAAATATCACGATGGCACCTTGAATAAAATTTTACTTTGTTAAAAAAAAATTTCTTGAAATAAACTTATCTGGGAGCAAAATATGATATTTACTCAAGTTACCCCCCCAAGTACGGCACACACCTGAACTTTTCAGCCTGATATTAAGGTAAAAATATATCCCTGATTTGCAATAATGAGTTTGATGCACACCCCAGTTTCAGAGACTGAAAATTCAAAAATTTAAGAATAGAACATTTCAGAACTTGAATTAGGACTTCAATTGTAGTCAAATTGAATGTTGATTTTACAATGCTTCCATTTTAAAATGTTGTACTGCAATTGGTTAAAATGTCCCTCTTAAATTCAAGTACAGTCAACAAGTACTGTATGTTTTTCCTTTCTTTAAATTTTGGAATCCAGGTAATAAAATAGTGCATTTGAGCTTCAAATCATTTCATGTGCCTTTCTCTTTGATAAAACTTATCAGGGGCTTCAAATATCTGTGAACAAGCTCATTTTGCTCAAAGAAGAAACTCAAATTAAACCTTGCCCTTTTACAGTACCCTCACTTTAGTGCCACCTTGCTAAGTGCCACAAAATCTGCCAGGACAAATTGAGGAACTTAATCTGGGTTTGACTGTATTATGTGCAAAAAAGTTAAGTGTGTGCTGTGTTTTTCTGATCCCCCAAAAGTAATGCAGAAAACATTGAAATCTTTGAGTAAACATTGTTACCTGAATCTAAGTCTGAAAACCACTGAATTAGATTCTTTGGAATAAACCAAAGGGGTTGTGTTTTTCTTCAGCAGTCATTCAAGATAAAAAGCTTTTCAAATTCCTAAAAAAATGTTATCCTAAGCACCTAAGACACATATCCACTATTTTCCCTCAATTTTCAAAAAAAGCATATGGTATTGAAGTAAATGAGGTACTGTGGTTTTCACTAGGAGTGGGACCAACTGTACTGCTTCATAGTTGCTGATATGTGACATTGGAACAAGTGTACCCAAAAATGTTCGTGTCAGCTTTCTCACCTTTGACTATTCTGCTGTTTCTATGAATATGAGTTCAGGTCCTGTCAATTAAAATCATGGATTAGAAAGATTTTCCAAGCTATGTATCCTGCATTCCTTTGATTCAACAATTAATATAAGAGGTTGAAGTATTGTTTTTCCAGGCTCATATGGGAAATCCAATGCACACTTGAAATTAATTCAATGCATGAAGTACTTTCTGATAGATGCAAGCATATTCTTGGAATTTCTAGGAAGATCATTTATATTCCAAAAAAATTACAAGATTCTATTCGCAATTTCATTTGAGAACAGAATATTCAGCCAGTTCTGGGATGATTATGAATTGACTGAACAATTCCTAAAGAATCTTGGAGGAAAAATGGTATAAAGCTAAAACTTTCTGAGAGGATGTGAAGAGAGAAACAGAATTTTTAAATTTTGTTTTTCATTATCATCTGGCCCCCAGGAAGGCCCATTACTTCACCGGGAACTTTGGGGAGCCCCACTGCTCAAAATTCACAGCTGACGCTGATGACTGTTGCGCATATTATTCAGCAATTCGCGACGCAGAAAATCAAGCTCCAACTGATAAGACGTCCAATAGACAAGCCATGATGAAAATTCAAATGAAGCTCTTGATGCTCCGCCAACTCCCCAAGAGTTATTCGCACTACGATGCAGCCCACTGCGAAGTCAGCCACCCGTTGCAAAGAGGCCCTGTGCCCCATCAACAGCACATGATCCCCATGATGGGGTTCCCTACTCAGCATTTCCAGTGCTGGTCATCTCCGATGATAGAGCATCAAATCCCAATGAATCCCGGGTTTTCAAGGCTGGAACCTTCTGAAACCTTCAGTGAGACAAAATGTTTTCTTAACAATATTATAATCATTATTGTTCATCATTCAATAATGGATATAATTAATGCATAACCAACAAACCTGCTGAATGCTGATGGAGTAGCCCATTATCATATGCTGCTGCCTTTTGGAAAGCGCTTCTCATGCCATCATGACCACAAGTGATTTCTTTCATGTTCTCATTATGCTAACCGAATTCATAATCGAGGGAAAAGGAATACACCGTTTATGCGCCAGAGTTTTCAAGGGAATACAAAAACTTCAAGTATGAAGTTTTTATCAAAAACTTTTTATTCATACAGTATAAACCGTTTTTTAGAGACAATTTTGTTTGTTTTTCTCAATAGGTTTGTTTTGATGTATCATGTGATGGAGCCTTCTGTAGTAAAACCTTACCAGGTATAGTTTCAAGGGACCATCAGCAAACAATGTTGAGTTAGCATTTGTTAGCAAGGTTTTTCTTAGGGAAAAAAGCATTTGTGTTGGGGAAAAGAAACAAGAATTACAGGAAATTTCAACTGGGGATATTCTGGGTATTGAATTCCTTCTTGAATGAGTTTACAGGATGCTGAACTTGGAGAAGTTTGAGGCAAGGGTTTCTTTGCCCAATTATGCTCTTCTGCTTCCTTTTAAAACACATCAAATTAATTTTCATTTCTTCCCTTTCCTGGGTTGATGAAACTCTCAATAGACAAAAAGCCTCCAGAAAAGTTGAGCTATGGCAGTTTGAGGGGAACCCCTTTGAGTAGAGGGATTTTTAATGCATTTCGTTTGTTTCCAGGGAATTCAGATTCTGGGACTTGAAAAAACATCCACATGGGGAAGTATTTCATTTAACCCTTGGGTGGCTACTATTTTTGCAAAATTTTGTTGCACCTCAGAGAGGTAAAAAAAAAAAAGGTCAACAGGGGGTTAAGGGCAAAGTTGGGAAAAATCCTGATGTTTTTCCCTGTGCACAGAAAATTTTTGCAGGAAAATAAAAAAAAGCTCAGTTATGCTACTGGCTTTTTTTTGGATTTATCCCAACTTTTTCTCAGCCCATCTGGAAGGGTTTTTTGACCTTTGAAAAACTAAAAATGTGGGAGGATACAAAAATAATCCAACTCAGTCCTGCTATGGGAAAGAACCCTCCACCGTCCAAGGGTTAAAGAGTTTCTAGTTAACCAAGTTCAAGTATAATTTTTTTTTCAAACAAGATTCATGGTGAGCTCCTTTCCCAGGTTTTGCAGGAAATTGATCCTGTAGTTATAATCACTCAATCGTGGTGCAAACAATCCGAATAAATGAAATGTTACATGCATCAAAAAGGCATGGCAGTGATTTTTTCCTAGTCCAGCACTATTGCAAGCTTTTTTGACCAATTTCTGATACTCTGAACAGAATTCAATACACTTTCAGGGTGCGGTTCAACCAAGCCACCCGGAGGACGATCATTTCCAACCACACGTTTCTTCAATGCGCAAGATAACGGCGATTACGAGCGATTCACGTGGGAGAACGTTTCCTCAGCGCAAATGCACGAAATCCTTCGTCATCAGCATCACGAGGAATGTAGTGATCCTGGGATTCCCGCGTCCACCAACTTCATGCCTCCATTTGCAGAAAACTTTCGATACTTTGACCCACGCTCTGCTGACTTGTTCGACGTGTCCTTCTCCAGCATTATTCCCGAAGACTACAGGACGGAGCATTTTGCGTTTTTCCATCCCTACGACAGCATGCACGATTATCTGCAGCAGCAAGAGCAGAATGAAAATGACATCGCTTTCTCTGCAGAAATGAAAAATTAGAAAACCAACTTTGCATGGGCGAGTTTTCGAACAAACGAGACATCAGCGTTTCGTATATAGACAAATACTGCACGATACGCAGGTGCAATTTATTCTGTCTTTTGCAATCCAGCATCACATAATAATGTACAGTACTCTGCACACAGGACAGGGTGGTACAGAAGAAAGCCCTGGAACAGTGTTCCCAAACCCGTTTTTCGGCACTCAAACCGAAGAAAAAAAAAGCCTAGACATTATTTTCTGGACTGGCGAATTTCCACAACACTTCTCGCGTGCTGGCAGAGTTCCATAACATTCTTGCAGACCAGCAGAACTTTTTAAAAACATGCTAGGAAGTTCTCCCACATGAACTCCTATTGCAAAAATTAAGACAAGAATCATTGAAGCAGTTTCATTGGAATGTGTTCAATAATTAGGAAGCTGGGCTTTAAGACCGGTTTCTCAGAATGAAAACTTGAAATAATCTAATGTAGCAGTTGAAAATTTCTCACCTGTTATTGAGAGAAAAGCGGGGTGACTACCCACTGCTCTATAAAACTATGGTCTGCAACCCATGGACCACAGGCTGGTACAAGTCCACAGAAGCATTTGGCTGGTCTGAGCAAAATTTTCTTCAACATACTGTAGCACATTTTTCAAGTTGGTAAAGATGTCTTTTTATCTTCATCTGAAATTTTGGAATGGCAATGATTGTTAAAATTCTGACAAAAAGTATAAGTTTTAACTGAAAAAAGTAAGTTTCAACTGAAAAAAGTAAGTTTTAACTGACAAAAAAAGAAAAATTGTCTTTGGCAATGAAGTTCACTCAGTTTTTTATATTTTGACATAATTTAAACTTTATTTTGGAAACCCATTGTTCTAGTCAAATGAGAACATTTTCAAGTCTGATGATGGCAGAGAAGTGTTCAACATGAACAACAATTGCGCATGGGTGAGTTGACCTGAGGCCATCAATTAAATCTCATTTGATTTCTGTTAAACCCTGTTCAGACACCCGGCCTTGATAAGCTGCCAACCCTTCAATGATTGCCGATTTATTTTGAAAACAATCTTTCCCTTGCGAAAATAACATTGGGAACCCAAGTTAAAATGCCAACCATCATACACCCACATCAGTGACAACTGGAACGGGCCTCCCTGGATTAATTTTGCCTTTGATACCTCACCAAAATGATACAAGTTTCTGTTTTTTGAAAGGTCTCCATTTGAAGAAAAAAATCTTACACACATTGTCGATAATACTGTATACCGTGATTCATTTCTTGGAAGTGAGCTAGAAATAATTGATTTATTCCAGGGTTATTTGTTTCTAAAGAAATACAATTTCCTTTCAAATTGTACTTGATTTTCAAAATACAGTGGAGTATTTTGGCTTTTTGGATAAAGCACCAACCTCTATGAACTGCCTACCACCAGAAAGCTTACTATCAATTGGTGGCTGCTTATCAAGGTTTGACTGTACCTCACTTATGATATGAAGTTAAGTAACAGTTATTCTGAAGCATTCTGCATAGCTATTCCACTTAAAACGCCCAAGCATTTTTTGGATTGCGCAATGTCCTGAAAATATAAGACACGTAGCTGACTTCACAAGCCGACCCACTGGCACACGGATCTCCTCATGTAAGTTGACACGACTGAAGCAAAATCATTCCGACACCACCCGATTCACTTGATAAAATAGAAGAAAACGTACACCTCATTATAATACTGAAGACTCTCCGTCTATTCCCAAACCATCAGAAAAATCACATTCCACTTCAACACATAGTTGCCCCAAAAAAGCCGAATCATCGTGATTCAGCACAATAAATTCGCAGAACACAGAAAGGGTCCACAATTGATAAAAAAAAACACAACACCTTGATCAAAAAGATTTCATCGAACGCTTGTGCCTCCGAAACCAGACGCGGAACGAGTCGACCCACTTCCGGAAATGCCCGGGGAACTGCTGGTTCGTCGATACGTCGGTGGTGCTGATGGTGCGTAGTTACTTCTTCCAGACAACGGGGACTCGTAGCCACTGAAAATGAACGTTAAGGAATTCATCTCATCAGAAGGACAAAAAATGGTTTCAGCGCTTCTCAGCCCACGTGAAAATCTGAACGGAAGGAAATGTCAGCCCAATCAAGCATTGAATATGTTCAAGAACAAGTAAAGAACACAAAAAAACAGAAAAAATATCCGTTCAACCCGGGAATGCTGAAGGTTAAATTTTGGCTGGAAAAGTTTCAAAAAGGTTCATTATCTCGAAGGACTGTCGTCAGATTGACGGATAGATTAGGAAAAGGAACGAAACATTCAAAAGTCTTCTAACTTTTTCATCCCTGGAAATTGATTGAGAACGAAAGAAAAGTTATCATGTACCACTAAAGTCTGAAGACATTCGTATCTCATAAATCACTTCATAGTGCCACCGCAACACATGTTCTCTTCTCCATCACGAACAGACAGCATCAATACCGAAATTCCACAGGACATATTTATTATCCAATATTCTCCGCACAGTGCCATATTTTTAAGAATATCAGAGCTATCTTTAGAAAATCGGAGGTGATAAATCGAGCATGGCATTCGTAAAAATCGTCACTGGAAGTAAATCATCGACGAAAATGAACACAACTCACCGATTTCGAGATCCGAACATGTAGCCCAACATGCCACCAGTGGCTGCACCACTCCAAAAACCACCCAAATTGGATGCAAAAGACCTCGATCCAGACGGACCTCCGCATGACGCGCCTCCTAATCCGGCATTGTAATCACTAGATCCGAATTCCGGCCTGAATCCAGGAGGAGGAGCGCGACCAGTTCTCCGGTCATCTCCCGGAGGATAATCTCCACCTGTGGAACTATGACACATAAAAAAAGCATGAATCAATATGATGATGAACAGAAGACTTTTCGATGAAAACACTCCCGATCGCCCGCGAAGAAAGACGAAATACAGTTGAACCTCTATTACTCGAACCTCTCTCAGTCGAATACAACCCTACGTCAATTTTTTTTCCAAATCCACGTCTGAAATCCTTCAGAAACACTGCAATCAAAATGTCGCTAACTTGAAACTTGAAGGCTTTCCTCAAACCTACATACTGTATCTCGAAATTTCTGCAGGCCACTCGTAATAATTTATTAACACAGAGAAGAGAAACACATTTAAATTCAACTTGATGTCCTTCGGAAGGAAGTGAACCATTAATCGGACAAATGAGCCCTTGCATCCAAACTCAGCGTCCTGCAAACTCATTCAAAACAGCGATTTAAGGCCCAGGATGTTACCAATCCAGCCATCCTTCTTTCATTCTCCCGACATAAATACTTGTTTCTTCAACTCAAAACCTCGCTAACTCGAAATTGTCCGTTGATCTATTGAAGTTCGACCTGACGATGTTCGACTGCATTTGCAACGCTTCTCCTGGATAATTGTCCGATAAAGCTTCAACTTTGAAAACGACAGGGCCTCGTAAATCTGATCTGCTAAAAAGACGACATAACTAGACAAAATAAAAATGTCTTTCCTTTTCCAGTTATATTTTTCACTAGCTCCCCAAACAATTAGGACAGGGCCGGAAAGTGGCTCTTATTCATATCTGTGTATGTGTGTGCATGTAGGAACTGATACACCTCTTTAATGAATCGCATAGAAGTATTGCCAGGAAAACCTCTGAAAAATCCGTTAGAACCCAAAGCCCTGATTACTTACAGTACTGTGAAATACACTAAAAAGAGAAATACAGCACGCGTGACTGGGTACATGAGCATTAATGGTTCAGTATCATGATGTACATCTTGCCAAATTCAAGTCACAGTCCTCACCTGTATGCATTCTCATCAATCGGGCCACGGAAAAAAATGACGTATACGGCGTAGATCAGAATTCCGATTACCGCATAGAACAGAATGATTTCAATCCACGTGGATTTATGCGAGGATTTCGAATATTCGAAGCCAGAATCGTAGGATCGTGAACTATAATCGCCCCTGCTCTTCCCAGTGGGTTCCAAAGTGAATTCCACCCCACAGGATCCAGAAAGGACGTAATCGTCTCCAGGATGATCATATCCTTCGCAGAGCACATTCAAAGAGCCGAACTTCACACTTTCATCCAAGTCAGCCTTGCATTCCCATTGCATGGAACGACCATCCCAACCGCGGTTGTAGCATTGCATCGTATTCGGTGCCAACGAGCAACCCGCAGAACCACCAACGCAGTTCATTTGGGGTATGGGAGTGACTCGGCGAGCATTCGTGAAATGACCTCGCTGAGCAGTGAACACTTGAACTTCGGACAGTCGAACCCTGTCTTTTTGGTACGCTACAAAAATTAATAAAAACTTCATCAGTTGCACAGAACTACCCGAGTTAGTGACGTTTTGAAGCAACTGCCAAATAGCTTCTCGACAGGTAAAAGGGTACAAGAGCTTTTTAGGCACTCTTGTGGGTCCTCTTGCAACTCGACTAAAGTTGCGTTTATAAATTTTAAATTCGAATAAACAATAAATCGCGAGAAATTAAATCCTCACGATGTGTCAGCTAGTACAGGACAATAACCACCCAGAACAGGAAGGTAACAAATGAGTGACTTACCCAATGATGAGGCGATCACTGATACGAATATGCACAAGAAGAAGCATCGGAATTGCACGCCTGCCATTTCGTTTTCACGTTACAGCCGGTCGCGAGTTTCAATAACTACCAAAGACGCTGTGAAACAAAAGGTTAGTGTCATAAAATTTAGGTCAAGGATGTAATCGTTTAGTAACATTGGATAACTCGTTTTGCAATGGTTTCACCCGAGTAATTTTGTTCTTAAGAGACATTCAGTCCAGATTAAAACAGTAACAAAAACCGCAGCAACACTGGAGGGAGGTTTCATTAACACTGGATAGAGGTTTCATTCTAACGAACACGTTTTCGTTCACGCACGTTGAGCATCAAAACGCTTAGAAACTGTCAACTTGTACCGAAGCCATGTAGCGGAAAGATCCTGCCTGCCACACCGGTCCCAAGTAAGTGTAATAACGCAACGACGGACGAGACTCCATCCATGATTCGAAGCTCAAATGAATGACGCAATATGTAGGTAAAACTTTCGGGCACTTGTACCACAGAATGATGCGACGATACGAGTCACTGATACTTCTGGATGGAACAATGACGATCGGTTGACGACTATGATTCAACCACCTCATCTAGTTGACCTCTCAACTGTGACTCCCAGGCACCTCATTTAAGCCCCGCGTTTCTCTTCCCGACCGTGAACACTTGCGCGGCCGTTCTTTCCAATAAATTGGCACTCACCCACGTAGGGTCTCGTGCAGCATGCCCGTAACAACAGTAGCATACTCGTACAGCGCTACTGGATACAACTTGATACCTGCAACATTGGGCAGAGAATTCACCACTATTCGAGTCGTAGATGTTCAACAGATGTCGCTATAAGATCGCATAACTATACTGTATANTTCGAAGCCAGAATCGTAGGATCGTGAACTATAATCGCCCCTGCTCTTCCCAGTGGGTTCCAAAGTGAATTCCACCCCACAGGATCCAGAAAGGACGTAATCGTCTCCAGGATGATCATATCCTTCGCAGAGCACATTCAAAGAGCCGAACTTCACACTTTCATCCAAGTCAGCCTTGCATTCCCATTGCATGGAACGACCATCCCAACCGCGGTTGTAGCATTGCATCGTATTCGGTGCCAACGAGCAACCCGCAGAACCACCAACGCAGTTCATTTGGGGTATGGGAGTGACTCGGCGAGCATTCGTGAAATGACCTCGCTGAGCAGTGAACACTTGAACTTCGGACAGTCGAACCCTGTCTTTTTGGTACGCTACAAAAATTAATAAAAACTTCATCAGTTGCACAGAACATGGGCTCAATCACTGCAAAACTTCGTTGACGGTTTATCGAAGAGCTGTCCATTTTCCCATGTTCTCGAAAAATCCGTGAGAACACCCAGGAGAACGTTGAGCTGATTTCAACGCAAATATTTAAAATAAATCGAATAAACAATAAATCGCGAGAAATTAAATCCTCACGATGAGTCAGCTAGTACAGGACAATAACCACCCAGAACAGGAAGGTAACAAATGAGTGACTTACCCAATGATGAGGCGATCACTGATACGAATATGCACAAGAAGAAGCATCGGAATAGCACGCCTGCCATTTCGTTTTCACGTTACAGCCGGTCGCGAGTTTCAATAACTACCAAAGACGCTGTGAAACAAAAGGTTAGTGTCATAAAATTTAGGTCAAGGATGTAATCGTTTAGTAACAATGGATAACTCGTTTTGCAATGGTTTCACCCGAGTAATTTTGTTCTTAGAGACATTCAGTCCAGATTAAAACGGTAACAAAAACCGCAGCAACACTGGAGGGAGGTTTCATTAACACTGGATAGAGGTTTCATTCTAACGAACACGTTTTCGTCCACACACGTTGAGCATCAAAACGCTTAGAAACTGTCAACTTGTACCGAAGCCATGTAGCGGAAAGATCCTGCCTGCCACACCGGTCCCAAGTAAGTGTAATAACGCTACGACGGACGAGACTCCATCCATGATTCGAAGCTCAAATGAATGACGCAATATGTAGGTAAAACTTTCGGGCACTTGTACCACAGAATGATGCGACGATACGTGTCACTGATACTTCTGGATGGAACAATGACGATCGGTTGACGACTATGATTTAACCACCTCATCTAGTTGACCTCTCAACTGTGACTCCCAGGCAGCTCATTTAAGCCCCGCGTTTCTCTTCCCGACCGTGAACACTTGCGCGGCCGTTCTTTCCACTAAATTGGCACTCACCCACGTAGGGTCTCGTGCAGCATGCCCGTAACAACTGTAGCATACTCGTACAGCGCTACTGGATACAACTTGATACCTGCAACATTGGGCAGAGAATTCACCACTATTCGAGTCGTAGATGTTCAACAGATGTCGCTATAAGATCGCATAACTATACTGTATACCCACTGTTTTTTAAAGGTCATGATAACGTGCCGCCCACGTGTTCGGAAGTATGATGTTTTCTTTATTCAAGTGAAGAGAATAAAGCTGCAAATCATTTTTCCCTTCCCATTGATTTTAGTGAAGTATTTAAATACTTTTGGAAATGCATTAACTATACTGTAGTCACACTATAATGAAAATAGTTCCACGTCAGCATAACTGGAATTATGCTTGTCACTGTTATCTGCTGTTAACTGTAAAAAATAAACAAACGAAATTTCAGTTTTTCTAAGACTTTTTTTTAAATAGCACTGCATGCTGCTGATAAAAAATCTTAGATAAGGAATTTTTCACTTGATTTCTCCATATCTTGCTTAAAGAATGTTGTGAGAGTTGAATTTTTGGAAATTTTGTTAATGTTTGAATAGAATTATACCGTATTATGTTTGTCAAATCTGGGAATAAGAATTTAAATTTTCGACATGATAATGGTTTTCTCATAATTGTAAATAAGAAATTAGGCGGGGGGATTGGCATTATGTTCAGTCATATCTATAATCTAAAATAGTCCCGATTTTTCTCTCAATTAATTGCCAACAGGAAAACTTTTTTCAAATAACCATTGGTCTCTCAGCGGCTTCGAAAGTTTGATTTTAACTCTATGCAAATTTTTAGATGCTTGAATAAGAACAAAAGAAATAATTTACTGCTGGTATAGTCGGTTAATACCACTTTTATGATGCGGATCCATCAAACCCGCATTCCATCATATTATGCCCTCATCTCCATACTGATGCACCACATTTTCTTCAGCAGCACAAATCATGCCGACTTCCCATACCTGTGTTCATACGTGCATGCTGTATATGATGATGCATACAAATATAAAGTAGGCATCATTTATAAATTATTATTGCTGATGGTTTTCCAAAAGATTTGTCAAATCATTGTTATTTCGAATAAAAGTATACAGCATGGCTTTAATTATGAAGGTTTTGCCGCAGTATATTCAAATAAGCAGCATTTTGAAAATTTTAAAAATACAGCATTATTCCAAAAAAATTTAATACTGCATAGAAAGTACTTTTCTGGACATTCTTGTGGATCGGTTAAGAATAATTTGTGATTGAATATCCAAAAATGGTCAAGTCGATGTCATTTTCCACATTAAATTTGTTGATATACTCAAGTACAGCGAGTACGTTATATGAATTATAATACTGTACAGTATTAATGTACTTGAGTAATCATCCGATTGACAGGACATCGCTCGTCTAAATTTATATTCTGAGTTCCACGTCACTCATATCAGGAATATATTTGCAGGTACTGTATAACTCGTCAGTGACACAAAGCGACCATATGCTGCATGACGATGATTTATTTTTAAGACAAAAGATGTAGAGCAGTAGTTAAAGAAAAACGAACTGGCTTTTCGTCGGGGCATGCATTCTGGTTTTTAATCTTCAGCATTATGATTACTTTTCAAAAATCCTCTCTTTATTTAAAGACGGTCGTTTAACATTTTCAGAATCACTCGAAGTCACAGAGCAGGTTACTGTACTGTATACGGTATCGTGACCCTCAACCTCTCGGGCTGTTATTCTTAGGGCGCCACATAAATAAGTTTTACATTGACTTTTCAAACTAATGTACTGTAGTTGTTTTCCCATGGTTCATATTTGTCAGACTACATTCCGCCACAAAAATTCAAAAAGACAGTTTCAAAATGAAATATGGACTTCTGAAATAAATTCTGAAAGTTTAACATGCCTGGAAATAAATTTTAATGCTAAAAATGAATATTTTCCACCCATTCATATGAATTTCGTAATTTTGTTACACATTTTGAGATTTTCTTGGAAATTCAGCCACAAAAATTTAAAAGGCTGTTTTGAAAATGGAATACACACATCTAATAATTTCCTTCACAAAGTCATCGGCCATGCCTGGAAATATCAATAAAATACTGGAATGTAAAAAATTTTGTTTAGACATTTGAAGCCACTTATTTGATCAGTTCATATGAATTCTGAACCTTTCAAATAAATCTTGTATTTTTTTAGTAAATTCAGCCACACAAATTCACAAATTTGTTTTAAAATTTGAAAAGTAGCTCCCAAACTTTCTTCACATAATTTATACCATGCCTGGAAACAATTTGAATTTAAAAATTTTAAATTGACAATAGACGACACTTTTGTCGACCCATTCATGTGCATTTTGAAACAATGATATAAATGTGTGTTTTTTAATGAATTCCGCCAAAAAAAACAATTGAAAATTTTAAAATTTAAATAGCAGCTCTCAAACGTCCTTCACAAAGTATACCATAACTGGATGTAAAAATAAAATTGAAAATCTTTTTTAAATTGGCATTTGATGCCCTTATTGTGTCTGAATTTACATGTGAAGTCCCTATAATGTCCATAAACTTAATATGGAATTGGAAGCCGTGGTACAACTTTTGAGGTTTTCAATTAAATTAAAAAAACAAAATTTCAACAACAACAAAATTGTCAGAAATGGAATTATTATGTGCAAATTTCCATTCCAAAGTGTACCACGCCTATAGAAATATAAACTGATTGAAAAATAACTTTTGAATGCTGTACATTTGAAGCCATTCTTCTCTTTATTCATGCACTAATAGTTTTAAAAAGTTCTATGCATTTTTATGTTTCTATAAGTAGGTTCAGTTAAAAAATAAAATTTTCAAAAAAGAATTTAGAAATTTCCTGTGACTTTGTTATTACGAAATTTTATTGTTTGATTAAAACTTTCATTTAAATGCAATTGTAAAACTTCAAAAATGGTCGAGAACATGAGAAAAAAATACCGTAGATCTTAATTTTTTAAGTAACAGAATTTTATCAATTCCACTTTTTTTCTTTGTAGCCCCATCATTTGGCAACACTTCAGTGCTGCAGTTCAATGCAGTCTCTGCTGCTGACTTCAAGTGCTAAAAATGGAGTACAGTATTGCAAATAGTTGATCAAGCTACTCTTCAATGATGGAAATGAGGCTGTCAGCACTGTCCTCAAATTCAATCCATTTCAGATCATTCTTCGCCATGGGAACAGCCAGAAGTCACAGACTTCTTTGCCATTACTTTTTTTCCAAACATATTTGTTTTTCAAAAAGCATGAAAAATTCCTTGAAGTCAGTGCAGGCTGAGTTATTGAGCAGCACTAAAGTGTTGCCAAATGATGGGGCTATGAAGTAAGAAAATAAATTGGAAGCGTTGACATTCTGTTGGAAATTTTTCAAAATTTATGCACCAACAAATGTATATACTGTATATGGTCTCAGCATGGGGAGGAATGGTGGGGAAAAACATAGTTCTGTATATTTTTGTTAAGCAGAATCACAAAGAAATTAATTTTTACGCCTAAACTCATAGAATACTTTGATGGCAACTGCAAGATACAGTATTTGAATAATCTACGAATATATTTTCCAACTTTTCAGTTTTTTAAAATAAAATTGGAAGTAAATGTCCATCTTACACAATTATCTGTAGTTTAACATATTCGGTATGCAGTGTATGTCAACTATGATACTGTATTGGGCTGTAACACTATACATAAGAAGTTACAGTATCCGAGTTCTAAAGCGGTGGGATAGCACATGACCCTGATTGTTTCCGAGGAACGTGCGAAGGCGTGGTCGTCGTGGAGAGGCGCACCGAATTTTGTCGATTCATACACGCGAGGTTTCGGGAATAGCGCTTACTGCTAGTTTAGGCGTAGTGAGATGACCTATCCTCAACGAACGGAATGAAAGTTATTGTTTGGAAAGCTTGAATAGAGTGATCTGAAGTTGGGAATTTACAGTAAACGACGAAGTACTTTTTATCCGCTTGCGAAATGATCTTCATGTTCAGCTCCCTCCTCCGAACAGATTCTCGTATTTTTCACTGTGAGGTGTCGAATGTGATTTTTCGGAATCAGTACTATAAAATCTCGGCTGGGCAGAGTGAAGTGATCTTGCGAGTTTTAGGGGACTTATTTCTTTGCGCCCAATTCTGTTGCATTAATACGTAACGATGAATGATGAAAAAGTTTCGGACCTCTCCTCAATCCAGGATTCATGTCTTGTCCGTCTCATCTGAACTTTCGCGGGCACCAGTTCCGCGATTTCTACTAATCTTTCAAATTTGGATGCTATGGCTGCAAATCCGACTCATGACGACGTTTCCGAGTGGTTCTGAATGGGAATCGCTCATCGGTTTCATCGCTTAATCCGAACGAACGGTATATATTCCAATGGATTGACGTGCCATTAGTTTTCCATCGTCGAAGACACTCACTGAGCCAGAAATGTCAAGTGTCGGAGGTTCACTGAAAGATGGCATGGACGGTCAAGGTGACCAGATGTCGGAGACAAAAAGGTGAACTTGATTTCAACCCTAAGAGAGCTGTGTCTGAAATTCACTAGATTTTCTTACTTCAGAAAATCACGGAACATGAGTGAAAAGAAAAGGAGGGACCAGTTCAACTCACTGATCAATGATTTGGCTGCTATGGTTTCTCCGTTGGACTCAAAGTTGGACAAATCTAGTGTTCTGAAAGCTGCCGTCAGCTTTCTGAAATCTCAGAATGGTATCACCTGCCCTCCGTGTACGGCCTCTTAGATACGTACAGAGTTTGCATTTTATTCATCGGTTTCTCTTTCAGCGTCTGAAGCGCCTAGCAAAAACGTTGACATAAGCGAGGCATGGAAGCCACCTGCGTTATCGAATGAAGAATTTATTCATTTGATGTTGGAAGCTGTGGATGGATTTCTCATATCCGTGGCCTCAGATGGAGAAATTCTTCACACCTCGGACAACATCGTTTCTATACTGGGTCATCTACCGAGTGATATAATAAATAACTCAATTTTCGGGATGCTGTATTCCACGGAAGCTCCTGATGTGTACAGGAGGCTAGCGAACTCTATGTTGAGCTTGAATGACGACACCGAGGATACCGGTGATAGTTTCGCAGCAAAGCAAGATTCTATGTCTCCTCCGTCTTCTTGCTTGCATCTTGACCAAACGTGTCCTAGTATGAGGAATCTCACCGTTGCCGATGAATCGAATGATGGCGACTTGGCCGAACCTAGTTTGTTGACTGATTATCGGGTTGAAGTGTTCAGAGTTATTTACGATTTTTGTTGATCAGGAATCGATGTCGACTTCAGCTGCCATTTCAAGCGCTATTCCTTGAGCAGCAATCTCTCGATGTCCACTCCAACCTTCGAGAAACTGAAGGTCCGAGGATTTTTCAAGAACTGTCACATGCCTAGTGCTGTTCCTAGAGATGCTGATGGTCATGGTGAAGGTGATCTCTATTTTTTTTCTGTGGTGATATAATTCAACTGATACTTTTCTTTTGTCAAAAATTTATAGGCAAACCCGATAGTCTATCCAGACGGCGAAACGGGAAAAATTGCGTCGACGGAGTAGATGGTTTAGAGAAAAGGTACCGACTCTTGATCAAATGTCCAAGAATTGTTTCAACATAAGTTTTACTAATGTAGACAGTAGACTATTGCGTTTAGAACAAGAAATTTTGTTATTGTAGGTATATTGTATAATTTTTATATTTCGTCTAATTTTTCCCATCCTGGTAGGAGGCGGGATATTGAAAGTGGTTCATATCTTTGTTTGAAACCAAGCTTGACACCACTTTATTATTCCTGAAAATTGGCGTGCTCAATAATCTTTTGAATCCGATACCTATTTGCAAATGATCAATTATTCTGATTCAGACAGTTTTTCGTTTATCAAAGGAAACGTGGAGGTTCTCCTAACATTTCCATAGATTCGGCGCTAGGATATCTGAAGTAATGACTGTGATCGAAGATTATTTTCAGAAAATTAAATGAAAAAAAATTCAGCAGTAGTACAGTAGTAGAAAAGATGTTTAACGGTAAAGTTGACTTATATGGAGTGTGATCTAAAGTTTTCTTTTGAAATCTAAAATATATTATTAAATGGTACAGTTCTGTTTAACTTTCTGAATGACCTTTTATAGTTTTGTTAAAGATTCATCACGATCGCAAATTTTCTTTTAGGAGAATCTTGATTGCTGCTGGTCAACTGGGCAATCCTCAATTAGTGCGTGAAATGCCTCCTTTGGTCGACACTATTAAAGGCGAATTCGTTTCTCGGCATTCCTTGGAATGGAAATTCCTGTTCTTGGATCACAGGTACGTGCAGTGTATTCGAGGGATTCTTGTGTGAAATCTTGAAGCAAATTTCTTCTCAGAGCCTCGCCGATTATTGGGTATCTACCGTTCGAGCTGCTTGGTACATCTGGGTACGACTATTACCATTTTGACGACCTGGAGAGGATTTCTGAGAGCCACGAAACCCGTAAGTTTGATGTCTACATGAACATTGCCCGCGTGATGGACCTTTTTTCCGCTTTCAGTGATGGAGACTGGAGATGGTCAGTCGTGTTGCTACAGATTCCTGACGAAAGGTCAGGAGTACATATGGTTGCAGTCCAGTTACTACATCAGCTATCACCAATGGACAGCGAAACCCGAATTCATTGTCTGCACCAACCGCGTTGTCAGTTATGCTGAAGTTCGTGCTGAGAACGAACGTGAACAGACGTGTGACCAGAATGACCTCGAATCTGTTGCTTCGCTGAATACCTACCGATCATCTCCGGCGTTTTCGTCCGAAGCCTCATGTTAGTTTTTACTCCGATCTCTGATCCTTAATTTCAAGATGCGTTCTGTGAAACCCTCTAACATGAACGAAACCGCGATGTTGTGATCTATTTAATTACAAACGAGGGTTGTCCCACTTGGGCGCTACCTTAAAGATGTTTAGTTGAGGTATGACTTTGAAAAATTATGTAGCCCATGATGCTGTACTGGATGGAGACTGGAAACCCCTGATGATGTAGAGTTCTGGGATTTTTTTTACGATTCAAGAAAATAATTTAAATTTACTGCATGATAAGTGAAAACTTTCCAGTTGTGGGCAGTGTTCTCCACCCGTGTTTGAGGGTGCTGAAAATTTTTCAGGCCAGCTGATATTTCTTCGTTGCTCTCACCATTATCGGAAATGTAGAAGTGATCATTGAAACAGCAAAAAATATCAATTTTTTCGCTGGCCTGAAAGTTTTTCAATGCCCTGTCACATGGGTGGAGATCTCTGGTTATAACTGGAAAGTTTTCACATATCCCCATTTAGTGAATTAAAATTATTATTTTTTTTAATCGGAAAAATCTAGAACTGTACAACATCATGGGCTACATCATAATTTCTTTGCAGACACATCCATTCGAAAAATAACCGAGGTCGCGCCCAAGTGGGACAACCCTCGTTTCTCAATCAAACTTGAATGTTAGAAAGCGTGACGGACGAAATGTTCACTTGACACGTGCGTATTGTCGAAGAAAATCGCGGAGTTCAAGACGTCGTAGCAGAAAGAATAAATTCTAGAAGTGGCGTGTCCAATCTGAATGAAATTATTGTTTTATACTATTATAGCATGTCATCTTGTGGCTCGTCTTGTTCGCACGCGTCAACAAGTTTTTTGTTTCCCTTTTCAGCGTATTGCACGAATAGAACGGGCAGTATTGTGGGTGAGCAAGGTTCAACCAAGCGCATGAAAAGTCCTTCAAGTACTGCCTCGTCAGTCGTGAACGCCTCGACGTCTCAAAAAAGCTGCAGCGCCTCTGCAAATAAGCAGCACAACCTCCTTACATCCGTAGTTGGTGCTCTGATTGAAGAAACGCGATTAGCAGCCGCCGCGCAAGCGTCCACGACGTTTCGAAAATCCAAGTCGGCCATCGTGACCAGAGGCTTTAATGATGGTATTGACGCGTTTGATAGTGTAATATGTGTAGCTTATTCAACTGGTTTTTTTCTTTTCGTTGCAGCGGACATTGAAGGATTCCGTGAGCCGTTTGCGTATCAGAATCTGTCTCAAAAGTGTGGTCTCAAGCATGCTCACCAGCTTGGATGCAAGCGTGTGTTGTCTCCACCTCCTGGGCTGAGACCGTCTTCGGGGTTGCTCTCTCCTCTGATCGCGTTAGTGTTACACGAAGATCCCCCCATTTTAGTGTGCCCAAAAAGGTACTGCGCAGTGAAAGAGTGAACATTTTTCACAGTATTGGGTCACGAGTTTCTTGTGATGTACCCACAGAACATTTGAGGGTACTGGCAAAACCTTTGGACCATATCTTACGCGTAGAGGTTTGAAAATCATACGTAAAGACAGGAGCAATTTTGAAATACTGGTCTCATCATTCTGTTCAATTCCACGTGAGACCAGACAACCCTCGCATGATACTGTAAACCTTGCTTCTGCGCGGAAATGAAAAACAGATGATCCTTGTGATGTCTCTTAACTTTCCAATGCCATTGTATCTGCCGTGTATTCTTGCTAAAATAATTCGTGGAGATTGACGAAGTAGGAAGATCACACGTTTATTAACGCGTGTAACTTTTTGTGCACCCTAAAAATTCCCCTGAAGAAAAGAGAAATTATTGAGGGAGACGAATGTTCGAACGATGTTTTCAGGCGATCCTTCTCCAGGACACCCCAGGAAAGTCCGTCTGAAAATTTAAGCTTTCAAGTACCGTACCGTTCAACTTCTTTTCTCGAAAACAATATTGAGCATAACTCAATTAGTTGTGCTCTGACGACTAAGCATCCTACAGCGGAGCTTTTGACTGCGTATGAAGTTGTAAGAGTCTTCGTTTTTTTTCTTTGGGTGGAAATTAGTCATGTTGATGATCTCCGTTTTTTGTTGTCTTGCTAGCCGTTGACGACATCGTACATTCCTGCGAGCGAGGAAGGAATGTATTTCATCCAACAGCCGGATAATCTTACGCGCCAATTAGTTCAACCACATTTCATACAAGTCCCGATTGTGTCAGGTATAATTCCGGGGATGTCTTACGTGACTACGAAAGACGGGCGACCGTCGAGGTTGGTGCTGAAAACGTCCGAAGGTCAGAGCTTTCCTTGCATCCCTCGGACATCTGCCAATATTTTAACCACTTCTGCGTCCATGTTGACAGTGAGTTTTTTACGCTTTGGTGTTCAGAGTGAGGTAGAATATTTTTGGCCTTTTTTATTTAGAACCCTGGGAAATGGAACTTTTTATTTTGGCTCGAATTAAAGTTACATTTAAAATTTATTTGCGTGAGTTTCGTTTCAATTTTTTGTATCATTCTGTCGCTGTAACGGGAGAATAGAACAAAAATTGAAGCATCTTTTTACGAAAAGTTTCCGAACGGGGAAAAAAGTTCAGTTGCATTTCGCATCACTAGAATTGCTGAAAAACTGTAGATGGGCTTGTAGAAATTGTAAATGTGGCTGGCTTTCGAAATGATTCAGGAATTTTGAGTTTGATTTTGAATATACGGTATTTTTTCGATTATTTAAACTTCCGATTGAACATAAATTCAATTAATTTTTGCAGTTTCAGAAGTACTGTATTGTTTCTTGGCAGCCGGTTTTCCAGCCTTTCCTGCATATGCACGTCGCATATAAACTTCGACATCATTCTTCAAATTTGTTCGCGTTAAAAGATTTATTTCACTTCTGACCGAATTTCTTCTGGGCTTAGTACTGTATTGTGCTTTTAGGCATGGACCATTTCTTGAAAATTTGAACTGACGAAGTTTTGTTTTGTCTTCATCGAAAGCAAAAGGAAATGTGTTCTCCGAAGCTGTCTTGAATACACCAAGTCTAGAGGAAAGAAAATACCTTACGAATATAAGAATATACTGTACTGAGATCTTTTAAACCTTACTCAACTTTCGCAGGAGTTCGCAAGCATTTCACCGTTTGTAATTTGTATAGAGGAATGCGTAGCAAAAGACGGTTAAATACATACAAGCAGTAATTTCCAACTATTTTCAGCGAAGAAATTCAAGATTGAACTTCATCAATAGGCTTTTCATTCACTGCCTAACGTGTTTTCGTGGAATGTCAGAGATCATGTAGATTAATTGTCGACATAATCTAACTCTATGGATAAGATGAGAATTCTTCGAAGTGAAATATTCAGTCGCAGTATCACTTATCAAGTAATTCCTGTATCAAGTATTGAAATTGATGGGGAAACTGCAGCACTTTTTTTTAGCATTTTTACTCAAAAGGTTCCACTGTATGTTTGCAGTGAAATTTTCAGCTGAACTTTCTCAGTAGATTCAAGAATCCTCCAAATGATGATTGGGTATTAGTACCGTTTTTAAAGCAGAGATATTTAGGGTTGTGTAAGTACTAAATTAAACCAAATCGATTTGTTTTACTCTTCGAGAGCTACGGTACTATGCAGTATATGGAATTTAATTGAGTGGCTTGCTTTCAAAATTGCAGAGTGGAAGCTCGACGCCAGTCCTGGAACACCTATTTGAAATAGACTGTCGCCGATCAACGAATCCCGATGAATCCGTGGTGGGGACAGATGTTATTGGATCGTCGTCCAGCATTCGTGAGAATAACGAAGTCGAGCTAGGGTCGATAATGATGACTACCGCAGGAATTCCAGCTGTGGTTGTTCCTGCGAACAGCGTGGATCACTTGGGATCATTGCGAACAGAGTTGCTTGACCCTGCGGACGAGTCCTTGACGCAATATATTTGAATTCGAGTCATTTTCGGTTTGCGGAAAAAAAAATGAATCTGCTGGTGCTGTTATTTCAGATGATAAAAGGTGTTTAGATCGATGAAATGGAAACGCGCGAAGATTGGTGTGTCGTTGGGATGATAGCATACATTTTGAATGTTCTTATTCTTTTCTTCACGCGTTCCCTTCACTGGTAGTTTTCCTGTGAACCCTTCTTTTGAGCCTTGTTCGTTCGTTCCTTGGTTCACGTAATATGCCATGAATCAGCGGAAAAGAAACGGAATTAGCTCTCTTTTGAATTTTCTTTCGAGTTTTTAGTCAACGAAGATCTTGTGAATAGCATCCCCCTTCCGCACATTCATGTCATTCCCAATCCAGGAATCAAAAAATTCGTGACTGTAATTGTGCAAGCCACCTCATGTGTCTGCTTGCGTTTTCAACGGGTATGTTCTTGTTCAGATGCTCAGCATGGGTTTTACTCGATTTTTAAGTTGTATAAGAAAATATTGTCTAATGCCCCTTTGATGTGGAAAATACGTTTTAGGTGTGATTCAATATTCTGGTTGTGAGGTAAACAGAGAGACCATTCACGTTAGTTCTGGCTCGCAAGTTTTATCCTACTGTACATGTCTCGATGTGTCGCCTACTTTTCGAAGCGGAAGAAAAATTTCACTGCGGATTTTTTCTGGTCGTTAGTGGAAAATGTGCTTTTTTCTTACTTTGACGTGAGTGTAGTCATAACTGATGAAATGAGTTGTTCAAGGTTTCATTATTCTGTTTTTTAATAGTAAGTCTTCTTGAAGTTTTTGTGGAATCACAAAAAATTATATGTCAGCGAGTTCCAATTCGATTTTCTCAAATTGTAGGAGTAAATTGTTGACTTTCATTCTAGGAACTGTTGAGATTTTTGTTTACTCAAATCGTTTCAACAATGAGTTGGGATGGACCGATCTCAGTATTTTGGCAAAGAGAACGTTTCCCCATGTCGAGGTGAGTTAGCTTCTTTTTTTTTTTAATTGAAAAACTTGTCGTGTCAGATGGTGGAATTTCCTTTTGAATGGCGAATTAATTTTTGTCAGTGTTGATCAGTCGAATTGTTTGAGCGTTGTTACTTATACTGGCATTAATGAAACTAAGCTCTCACCGGAACTAATCCCTATAGCTCTCAAGTCAAATTTGGTTCAAAATTGATATTTTCGCTGTTTTTTTTTTCCGCGCGGGCATTTGCTTGAAACCAAAGTTAATCGTGCTGAAATTTTGGTGGAGGAACCATTTGTGTTCTGCTTGGAAGTATTGAAACGTTCCTGTGTAGATGGCCAAAATGTGGAGCTGAAGAAATTCGTTGTGATGAACATTATGTCTGTGTGTAACGTGTCCCTTCCCGTTTTGAAGTAAATCAGGCTTTGATGGTTTTCGGGTGTTATTTTCACGGGCATAATTTCGGAAGAGTCGACGTCGAAAAAGTACCGGTGGCGAGATTGTTATTCTTAGTAGGAAAGCAGGAAAATGGATGTTTTGATGTGTTCCTAAACGGGGTCTTCTTAATTATGGCATTCTGTGTTTACTTTTCGGTTCATGATTTACTGAACCAGTGTCTTCTTTGTTTTAAGGAAAATCATGCTCTTGAACCGCAATTTCGCAGCTGATTCCCCTTTTCCTCAACTTATTCTGTTAATCGTGCTGAAATTCGAAGTGATTCGACGTTTCGCGAGTTTCCGTGCTCTCGAAAAATTGCTTTCGCAACATCACAGGTGAGGGAAGTGCCGTTAGCTTTGGTCAGTGACGGAGTCTCATATTAGCAATCATGGCATAATTTCGTGTGTGTTTATCAGCCAGATTGATTCGTTTCTGATGCAATTTTGACAGTTTTTGACAAAAACACCACTTCGCATTGATGCGGGTTGTTTATACCCCCCAGCAAAAATGTTCGTCGAAGCCTCCCTGAGCCTTTTTTTCTTGCTGGTCCCCTCAAATGTCAGAGAGCGGCGTGACTGTAATTCAGCATGCATTTTGCCTGAAAATGCAAATCTGAAAAAGTGCCGTTTCCACAGCAAAGTAACTTTCAGAAGGCCAGAAGTTAGAACCATACTTATTCTCGAAAAGAAACAGTGAGCCTGGAGTAATACCAGAAACCAGTACCAGTATCATGAAAGTTTGAGGTGTAGGGTGTTGATCTGGCCTATGCATTCATGTGGAGCGTTTGGACCTGGCTTGAAAACATATGCGCGGTCAGTCACTTTTATGAGCATGACATTTTGTGTGATTTTGCTAATTTCTTGCATAACGTGCTAATTGTGCAGCGGTATCATTGATTATTTTTCTTTTCACTCGAACTTTCAATACTCAACTTCATTAGTGTTTTTGGTGTTTACGCGCGGAAAGTCGGACTGATACCATCTGTTCTGAACACTTTCGTCGTTTAATGTCGTGATTTTTCAAGTTTGTTTCCGTGCGTTCTCCGGAGAATGGTGTGAATTCACGCCGGCGCAAAACCATGGGGAAATCAGACATAATTGGCGAAAGTGAGCTGCCTGCGGTAGAACTACCGTCAATGTGAGCTAGATTTTCACTGTGTTCTCATAGAATCAAAGTTGAAAATGTTGGTGGAATTTGAAAATTTTCCAGACCGGACGTGGAATGGCTTGAAGTAGTCGTGGACGCGGTCGAGGAGGCTGTTGATGATGATGGCGACGACGACGAGGACAACGACAACGGTGTTGCGGGAAATACCTCTTCTTTTGAGAGTGATTCGCACGATCTAACTGAAAGTGTGCAACCCTCTTCGATATCTGTAGAGGAAAATCCGAATCCCGCTTCAATCAGCACGAACCTTGAGCTTGAACGTGACGCTGTCGAAGTTTCCGTGATCGATTTCCCGGTTGTGGAGGTGAGCAAGTGGATTGGATTGTGGACATCTTCATGCAATGGTGGAAGCTTATAAAGAGTACAATATTTGAAGGTTAGGATTACGTGGAAAAGTCATTCTGTGTATCCGCAATCTTGGGTGAAATGCTCACCAGATAGTGTTCAACTAATATATTCGATGAACATTTCAAGAAGAAAAAATCGCCTGTCTTGATAATTTCATACAATTTCACCTAGAACCCGATCAAAATCTTGAGTGCTACTGTAACAATGTCTCTGGGCGCAAAAAAAAATTTCGAGATCAAAAACGAGGATTTTTGAACGTTGAACTAATCTGTGTGACAGCCAGTGACATTTACCGATGCAAGAACGATTCATAATTGTAATGAACGAATTTTTTTCCTTTTTTCATCTTGATCAAAATTTTCTAAGAGGACAAAATTCCTTTTTGGGTTCTGAGAAAATCCCGTTGACCAGAAACTCCCGCAGCGTAAATTGATGCTTTGAAAAACGCCTCTTTTGATAACTACAATAGGCAATGGGAAGTAGACACATTTTCAATTACTGTAAATACAGGTATATATAGGTATATTAGCAAATACCTTATAAATGCGGTTCACAACGAAAATTTCGTTCTGTCAAATTTCGATTCAAATATTCAGTGTAAAATCCATGATGAATAGTATCGTATGCACGAAATATCACCACAAACTCAATCTTTTGTTCACCTTTCCATCAATTTCATCAATGTCGTGTCTAGACGGAAGCAGTGATTTAATGGCAAGACAAGATGGTGAGCAAATAATTGGAGCATATGTCATTCTGATGGAAATATCGAAGTGTGAAAATAATTTTTGACCTTTCTTTGCTCTGTTTATACCATTTATCAAGTAGAGTGCTGAGCATTTAACATTTGGATTGAAATTCGACTTGCAAACCGCAGTTACCGGTATACTTGTTTAATAATTCATAATTTTTCTAATCGCCATTGTGAATTGTAGTTTTCAAAATGATGGGCGTTTTCTAATGCATAAATTCACGAAATGGGAATTCCGTATTTGGGTTCTACGATCCCAAATTTTTGGAACCCAACGATGATAAATGAAAGGCATTTGCTAGGTGCAGTGGTTGAGCTTCTACAGCCTTAGAGCGCAAAATTACTCATTACCGTTCTATCCTATCATCTGGTTGTATATGAATTTGTCAATGACAGATTCAGCCCAGCTAAATTTTAGTGACTGAGTATAACATCCTGCTGCTGCAGCATTCCCGTGAGAAAACCCGGAGACAGAAAGCAGAGCACTTGTGCGATGATGTCGTGGAGAAACGGGATGAGAAGAGGACCATTGGTCGGCGCAAAGCTCGCCGCCAAGAGCGAGGTGAGATTCTCTCGCGAATTTTTAAGCTTCACTGCCATATTAAAATTTATTTTCTGAAGAAAAAAATCGAGATAGGGTTTCCATGGATTTTGTGTGATTGCAGAGAAGGAGGCTGAGCGTTTGCTGTCGAAGTTATTGGGCAGGCACTCATTTGCTCACGAAGGCGTTCGCATGGATATAATTCCTACGGGTTCTGTCTTCGCACGGCTTCTTCGAGACCCTGATAGTATGAGGGTGAGAGGTTTTTATTTTTCCACTTGATTCAGAGTTTCGAGTCAACCTTGAGCAAGAGGACACTCTCGAATTGAGTAAATTATCGTGTTCGTTTGATTACCACGCGTAGCTTTTTTTGTTTTCTTTCTCGAAATTGAGAAGGGAGAAAGGGGTTGCTCGTCATAGGGGGGCATGCATTTTTCAAAAACGTTCGAGAAGTTTAGGTATGCATTATATTTCATTCAAATTGAAAATTTTGGACCAATTTTTAGCAGAAAAGCTCTTTGTAACGGAGGAAATTGAAAATTTGTTAAATTCTGGTTCAATGCATGTCTAAATTCAAATTTGGGCGTTATTATTTTCGAAGTATTGCAGCTTTAGATTCATTAAAAATGGGGTGCGCGTACCGTATTTACATGCATGTATCATGCTTCTACATCCTTGCATCAATAATAAACCCCTGCAGCAAATTTTCAATTTGCCATAATCATACCTTGTTAGCTCTTTTTCTTTTCAAATCCCGTGAAATAGAATTGTGAGCGTCAGATTTGAAGTGACAAGCGTAAGTAGAGTAAAATTTGTTCACTTGGCTAGATATTAGTGAATGTATCATTCTTGAAACTTTCTTTATCCATCTGGTATGAGGGGTATGAAGAAAGAATGAGTTTAAGGTAAGTTCTAAATTATGGCTTCGGGATTAGAGTGAATAATGCCCGAAAGTGGGAACAGTTCCAGGTTTCCCAAGAAGGGTCCGTTATAATTCTGCTGGTGAAGCGTGACTTCTATTTTTGCTTTTTCGAACAAAATATTACCGAGTTCGGAGTTTTAAATTCAGACGTCATCTGGAGAAAAGACCCGTGGTCAAAATCTTTTGAGGCTCAACTTCATTTTCCTTTCCAGGTTTGGCTAGCCTTTGCCACAGCATCTGAAGAAGAGCAGGAAAGGTTTCTCTCCCGAGATCATTGCCGTAAAGCGCAGAGATGCAATCAAGAGACTAAACGCAGATTCCGAATGTCGTCTCTGGATCCCCGCGTTTGTCGCCCGTCTGTCAGCCCGCCTAAGGCCTTTGGATTGATCCCGAAGCGCCTTCGTCGTCAAATAGTGCACAATTCGTATTTGAGAGAGGAATTGAACAGGATTGAAGGCGAAGTCATCCTGGGGTTCATTGCGGAATCTGTCGAGGACGGAGGATTCATGCAGGAAATTATCAAAGGGGCCCCTTCGGGTGAACTGAGTGAGCAAGTGTGTGTTGAGCGTGCTGAGGCTGAAGGACGACAAGTGACTGCTGTTCCGATTGCCCAGGCTGCACGTCCTGCTGCCCAAGCCGTTGCCCTGTTTTACGGGTTGACTTGTAATTGTGAGTTATATCAGCAAAACGAATACTGTAATTCTTCCAATTTTCTCAATTTGAGGTTGATTTAAAAGAGTACAGTAGTTCTGCTTGCTGACTGAGGTTGGTATGAAAGTAGATTTGGAAGTGTGGGGTGCAATTGTGCAGTCCCGAGGGTTTTTAGAAAGGGTTGTTGTTTATTTTCGAAAAGGTATGTAAAAATATGATCCGTGGACTGCAGAAGTCAACATTTTTTGTTCTGTTTAAATCTTTGACACCGCTCGCAGAAGGACTCAAATCTGTCATCAACAAAATCTGTTGATCGACAAAATTGTCTCACGACTTGGTAACTCATCGGAAAGATTTTATTATATATGTTTCCTCGAGGAATAATACAATTATGGACTTTCTCTACCACGATCTTGTCTCCAATGATTTTCTCTTTATAAGGATTTGTTTGTCCCATTGAGTTCTCTTCCTATGGTGTAAGTAAGCTGTAAGGGTTCTCTACGACGGATTTTTTCCTGTTCCCTTGAATTCTGTTGCAGAGAGAGTCCACCTACAGTTGAAGCTCGATTACTCGATCCTCCATGTGTCGAATTTGTTTCAAGTTCCTGTTTGAATTCTCTTATAATTGATGCAGTAAAAGCCTCTCTAACTCAAAGGCTTTCTCGCCTCAAATTTGTTGGATGCCTTCCGGGCATTATTTTATTGACGGAGGAAAAAAAAAGCAATAAAAATCTCAGGTGTGTTTTTAAAGGAAGTGAAAGACTACTCTGGGAAATGAACCCTTCTTGCCTTCAATTTCAGCATCTTGTCAACTCATTCAGGAAACAATTTAATTCCCAGAATATCAACAATTACAATATCCTGAAATTATTTTCTTTCTCTACGAAAATGCTTGTTTCTGTTACTCGAAACCCCCCTAACACGAAATTGGTTGCTTGTTCCTTGAATTACTGTACAAGTTAAAGAGGTTCGACTACATCATCTCGTTACAATTTTCTTTCTCTCTGTGAAATTCTGGAAATTAAGAAAAAAAAACGTGTTGCATTGTTTTTTCCTTTTTATTGTTTCTTTCAGTTTCGAGAACGGGCCGAGGGAGCTTGTACGCCATTTTCGAAAACAACTTCACAGATTTCCCCATGCCCCTTAAAACTCTTTACAACTTTGCGACGGACATCAAAGAGTCGCTCCTGTCATGCTGACTACGCTCAGCAGTTTGGTGCCAAGTACAGCGTGCCTGAAAGGGGTTTAGTTTGACATGAAGTACCAATGGATTCTATTCACTTCATAACCGTTTTTTTTTTTTTTTTTTGTGTGTATGCGGAATTGCTACTGCGTGATACGAAATATTGCCTTTCCATGCCATTTCGCTCTCTGAACTAGTCTTTTTCCTTGAAAAAACCGTGTGAACGGCTTCTGACAAGAGCTGTGAGTTTTTTGGATCGGAATTCTTGGCTTAACCTTGAGAAGGATGCCATATATTCATCGCGTTGGACGTTCTCTCGAAACCCGAGTTGTTGATTGACTGGCAGAAATCCAATAGCATGAACCGTTGGTATTATTAACTTTCCAATTTCACAGTCGAGTCGGAGAAGGAAATCTTGACGGGAATCGCGTTTTTCTTCCGATGTGAGCAGTTTTATCGCTGCTCTGTATAGATACCCAACGAGATGCGAAATGTTCGCGATGAGGAACCCATTTGAATCGTTCGAAAAATGTGTCCGTATTTATGGATATGAAGGGACAGCGTTCCCTTTAGTTTGAATCATTCCCCGCTAGGTCATCTTAGACTTTTGAACGAGAATGAATCGTAGCGCATCCGTTGACAAAAATTAACCATACTGTCGAGTACAAACTTCTGCATTTGTGTAATCCGAAACTGCCTTTCATTTCTCAATGTACGAATTCATGGTGATGCAAACTGAGTTGGCATGATCGTATCACTAATCTTTTCCATGTCACAAATCTGTTGATGTGTTTGCCGTGGTCGTGCAAGGTTCGTTCCATCACCTCTGTGATATGTGGGAATGGTTCCTTTAATCACTTTGCAGTACTGTATCGATAAGTAACGAGATTTCTTCGAAGGTGGAGGAATAGGATTATTTTAGTCGTGAACGCAAACCCTCGGAAGTATATTCTTGGGTTCCGGATAAACTCTGGGGGTTATCAGGTGTTACGTTTTCTTCGTCGTGGTATTCTGGGTGTTGATCTTAACGAAATGCGAGTAAAGTTCTAGTTATTGACTGCCTGTCGTCAATTATTGTGTTTCGAAAGTGGAGAGACGAAATGAGTCCTACTTGTTGTGATGTATCTTTCCTAACCGGTGAAATTTATGCGTAGTTATTTATAGACAGAGCATGTGTGGATTTGGTTCATTCCTTCGTTGTTGGAGTGCCTGGAATGTGATCTTTTTATGGTTCTGTAAACTAGGAAAGAACGCAGTACTCCTTGATTACTGTCACAATTATCTTCTGCAAGTACTGCAACTGTTCTTAAAATGGAAATAACGTGTTGAACTTGAATTCAAATGACGTGTTTTGGATAATTTTATAGAGAATCAGTTCGTTTATTCGTTTCGAAACGTTTTCTTTGTGATTGTGATGAAAGAAAACCTGTCAGTTGTAACGTTCTCTCGAGTGCGATGAAAAACCGTAAATCTCTTGAAGTTTTGGAGTGTTGGAGTGATGAGGTGGTTTTAAGTTTTTCCTTGACGTTGACCTTATGCCAAAGCATATTTTAATTGAGGGTCGGCTCTGGGTTGAAATCTTTATCACTGGGCGTCCTGAAGTACGCTTTAAAAAATGTTATTTTTGTATGGGATAAATGTATAAATTTATTCTAAGTTTTATATTTCGTATCGGCACAATTTTTCCATTGAATTACACTTCGATGGTCGCCCTAAGACTCGGATATTTGGTATTTGTTTCTCCAACTCCAACTATCAGAAAAGTAGAGGAGCATGGCTTTAAAATTTTAGTAGCTCTGAAATTCAGTTTGTAGTGGGTTTTCATGCATGTCATGATTTTGAATTGGACTGTATTCCTGAACTGTTGTCACTTTTCTGATGGTACTGACTTGATTCTATCAAGTTGCCCCTGTTTTCGGATTTTGTAACTTGCTTTTTTGTTTTCAGATTTTTGCACCTGTTGTTTGGTATGTTGAAACAAACGAATGAAAGTGAATTAATTGGTTTGGTAGAAAGTGGTGATGATGGACTCAAAGAACGCCCCGAACATTTCGGGATAAAGATACCCATTCCATTATTCTTCGTCGGATTAATATCATTACCGTTGGCGGCATTTTCATTTTGTATCGGATGGACGATCAAGTACAATTTTGAAGCAGGAACGAATACTCATTGTCATGTCGACAATTACTTACCGTCCATTTCTGCTGCAATCGACTTCCAGCCGCAAGGAAGCGTGTGGCAATTAGGTGAGTGATTTTTTTTTTCATTCATGAAGTTTGGGGATATAAATGAAGAAAAAAGTGCCGCTTAATCTTTCCAGATTGACGAAAAATCCAATGAGAACTTTCTGATTTGGCTCTTCTTATGTTTTACTCGTTTGACAGTTTAATTTTTTTTTTAAGTAGGGCTACTCATTTGCGGTGTCTTCTGTTGGTAAGGAAAGGCAAAAATTTGGATGAATTTACAGCGAGAGGTTTGATATTTTCCCAACTTTTTTCCGTTGGACAGAAGTTGAGAATTTGAGATTTTTGTTCTTTCTGTCGTTTTTCAAACGTTATTACACTTAAAATCAGTTATGTAGTACAGTAAAATATCGTTAAAACGAAGCTTTTTGAGTCTGAAATAAACCTTCCTTTATAAACAGAATTGCATTAAATCGAAATTATCATGTCGTGACTATTGAACAGAGACGACAACAAAAAATAAATTTGTTTTAATCTGTTTCCCAACGAATTAATCATGGAATAAATCGTTAATTTCGACGAATTAATACTTAAACCGTATTTATTTTGAGCATTAATTCGTAGAACGAGATTCGTTGTGAGTAGATCAGCAGTTTATCTTGCTTTAGATCAAGGACAATACCGTTCATTTGAATGCCGAGGCTTTTTTATTTCTTTGCAGCTATTGGATTTCATTTTCCCGGGAGACTCCTGGCTATTTTGATGTACTGGAAGTACTATTGGTGGGCTTTGTACCCAAAGTACCTGAAAGCAGCCGGAGTTTTATGTGCTCTCCTATTTATAGAAAACGTTTCGTTGCTTGGTCTTTCGTTCTTCACATCTGACGAATATTTCGGTACGTCAACTGAGGCATTATTTATGAGAGACTTGATGTTATCTTCGTCACTTTTTCTCTTCGCAGAGTGGCACAAGTGCTTTTTTGCTGCGTTTTTGTTGACGTCGGAGGTTTATATTTGCTTGTCGTTGTGGACCAATGCGTTTTGGAGGAAGTCTCGAATGTCTTCTTGCGAGAAACTCTCCTTCCGGCTCAAGAAGCGCATTGGGGTCGTCAATTGGATAGCCTGCGTCTTAGCTTTGATCTGTTATGACAGGCATATGCGATACTGTCAGCCAATGAGTACGTTCTTCTTCTGATTCAAAGTAACCCTTGTCTTGATTTGCTACGTTATGAGAATGATGTTCGAGAACAATTATTATCTGATGGACAGCATTCATGTGATTAAAATGGTTATTGATAGTTTGTTGGTTAAATGTTCAATTTACGGTGAAAAATGAGTACTGTATTCAATTTTCAACGTTTTAAGCCTTCATTGCTATCGTCAGTATGATGAAATGTTCGGTTCTTGTAGATGTTGCTGGCAGTTTCGAGAACATTTTAAATTCACGGTTACGCCAATTTCCATCAGTTTCTCGTCTTTCCGTGCGGACATTATCTTTACCAGAATATTATACTGTGGTAGACTCTCTCTGTAACGATTTTCTCTGTTAGGTACTGTATACCGTTTTTTTTTTTTTTTTTTTTTAACCCATAAGGTTTTTGACCCATGTTATNAAAACCTTTTTTTTTTTTTTTTTTTTTTTTTTTAAACCCATAAGGTTTTTGACCCATGTTATAGCTGTTCTCTGCGACGATTTTTCTTCTGGTTCCCTGTCTTTCATTATAGAGGAAGAGGGTCCACCTGTAATCCAAACATACTATTTTGTGTGTTATGAAACAAATCTGGGCGAATTTCATTTGGCACACTTTTTCTTTCGAGGTCTTTTAAAACCTACGTGAAACATTCACCGAATGCAGTCGAACCTCTTAAAATCAAATTTCGAGGGGCCAGCAGAAAGATTCGAGTTCGGGAGGTTTCAAGTTGCACCGAAAAAAAAAATGGCTGGAAAAAGAAGGAATATTTACTGTACTGGAAATTGTGATTGGTGATATTCTGGGCCTTGAATTGCTTCTTGAATGAGTTGACGGGATGCTGAACTTGGATGCAAAGGTTCATTTGCCCAATTAGTCCATTTCTTTTCAAAACGCCTGAAGTTGCATTTTTATTGCTTTTCTCTTTCCTGTGTCAATGAAATAAAAGACGAAAGACTTCCAGAAAATTTGAGCTATGGACGTTTGAGGAGGAAAGCCTTCGAGTTTGGGAGGTTTTTGGTGCATTGTTTCTAAAGTAATTCAGGTAAGGACTTGAAAAAATGCGTTGGGAAATTCGAGTTATTCAGGTTAAAGTGTATTTCGATTCAGGTATGTTTCTCCTAAAATAAACAACAGCAACAAAAGAAGAAAACAACACCGAAACTGTTCACTTAACACAAATAATTTTCGGACACCAAAAGATTAGGACATTTTTGTTATTGGGATTAATCTTTACTTTTTCTTCTTTTCAGTGTACACGTGGTTTTGTGCATTCGAATACGTCGTCGTGGTTACAAACGTGTTATTCCACGGATTAGCAGGTCTGGACATGCATCGTTGGCACGTTGTTCTACCCTCTGGGGAAGTACTGGCACGGTGCTAGGAAAACAGTGACTGGTGATTAGGCTGTGAAGTGTTGTTTCTGGGATGAGTGTTCTCTAGACGTCCATTTTGTCGCGTTCATCGTTGAACGGATTCGGAGACTCTTTTTGTGTGTCATTTCCGTGCGACCAGAAATTTAAGGGTGATTCCATCGATGTGGAAATTAAGTCAGTGGAGAGCGTCGATTTCGTGCTACAAATGTTCAATGAATGTGCCGTTGGTACATTTGGCATGCTTTACGTCTTGTACATAAATTCGTGAATGACTTGCTCACTAAATTGTTCATTTCTTTTCGTGACGATTATTATTTATTTCATGCATTTCCATTTTGATCAATTGTCTGACAGACTTGATCCTTTTCACGCTTTATTTTTTCTGGAAAACCTTGCATAACCATGCAATTCCTTCGTATTTACCCCCGAGTTGTCATGAAATTCACTGTTCGGACTTTTATTCTTCGCAGGTATGTATTTGTGTGGTCTCATGACGCTGCTCTTTTGTTGTGTGACGTTGTTTTCAACATTTGCATTGGCGGAAGTTTATACTGGACTAGATCAGTTCAGGCCTGGCTTGATGAATATTTTCGTTCCGTCGAGCGAAGTGAAGAAACTGCTTGGTGAGTCGGAGTGTGGCAGCGTTTCGATTTTGAATTTCAAGTCCACTTAAAGTTTATCTTCTTGTTTTTTTGAAAAGGCTGAAGATATTTACTGCTGCAAGGTGACCAAAACTGAGATTTTGAGACCAAGTTTTTATGCAATTTACCGGAACGAAGAGGGCAAATTAAATTATTTTTGTCGCTTGAAATTCAGAGCCACTTCGTATTATTGAATAATGTTTGAGGAGCTTCAAACCAAGTCAATCAAATATTTTGCCAAGCTTTTGAGCTTCATAGGCTTGCTGCACGTCAGAGAGTAGCGATTTTTAAAATCTAAAAAATTGCGAGATCTTCCAATGTTTGAGTCGCGTTTTTATACGATCGGCTTCTGAAAAGGTTTGACCAATAACAGGGAATTGGGGTTGTTGTAAATCGTTATTCAGTCAGAAAAAAGTCTCATATATTTTCAGTGGCATAAAATCCCGGAACTCACTGAAATATTATTGAAATTTTTTCAGTGCAGTACTGTAATTCAGAATATTGAATGTACGAGAGAAAAACTTCGTGAAGGGTTTTTGGTGTGTTCAATGTGACGATATTACTCTCAAGCCTCTGTATGTCGAACAGGAAGGGAAAAAGCGACAAAATTCGAACTCGGGAAGTTTCGAGTTATGAAGATGAAGAAAAAGTAATTAGAGGGAAGTTTGAAAGAATATTTTGGTTCTTGAATTATTGCCTCTTGAATGAGCTGACAGGAACTTGGATGCTAAGGTCCATTTCCCTAATTGGTTGTTCACTTCCTTTCAAAACGCATCGAGTTATATTATCATTGCTGTTCTGCTTCCTGAGTCAATGAAATAACGTCCAGAAGGCCTCCGGAAGATTTGAGTCACGGCTGTTTGACGAGCCGTCGAGTTCGTGAGGTGTTTAATGCATTCTTTCTAAAGGACTTGAAACCATTCGACTGAGAGAGATTCGAGATATCGAGGTTAATCCGCACAGTACTCCGTTTGAATTTATGATAACTGTGAACATCGATCACATCTGTCCCGTGAGCCAAAATGAGGTGAAAATGCTGATGAGTGATTCTTTCCGCAACAGGTATTCCTGCAGAGCTCTATTACGTTCGAAATGGCATCAGCAATGACAACGCTTTGGCCTTCGTACTGCCGATTCCTTTGCACGTGGATTGGATGGATTTTGTCGTCAAGGGCCAACTCGAGGTACGAAGAAATCACCTCGCGATCCCTCGCTCTCTTGAAAAATTCGTGCGTTTCTGCATTGTTTTGTGTTTCTTTTGTAGTCACCTGTCGAATATTCGTACAAGTTCAACGTGGAGCCAGTGCCTGTTCCGGTTGTTGGTCTTGGTCCGTCGAAAGCGACTATTCATCCGAGCCTGAACGTGACCCAACGAGGAGAAATTTTCTCGCACGAAGAAACAGTTCGGATGTCGGTTCTGTGTCCGAAACCGATCGTTGCCCCGGGCACGATTTACCCCTTTTCTCTAGTACTCAACATGTACTCGAAGAACTCGAACCTGTCGAATGCGTTGGTCTTTCACTTGGAGAAATTCTGCCGAATCCGTGAGTAATTTGTGCATCAATGTTATTTAGTGCTGAAGGTTTTGGTCAACCTGCTGCCAGTTGTTTGTAAGAAAGTTGGCGTCGTTTTTCCGAACATCTGTATGAATATCAATGAATAAATATTTTTTGAGGAATCGGCGTGAAAGACAGTTTGACACCGACTGCTTTTGACTCTACATTTTGGCCTGCCCTTTTTATTTTTGACGGAATATTACTACCCATGTTCAAATTCTGCATTATTTAGATTTGCTGTGTTCTGTCCGGTTAATTGTGGATGAGCAAAAGTGTCAAAAATTAGATGAAATGTCACAGAAGGATCGAATATCAATCCAGAAAATCTGTTATCGTTTTGCAACTGTTTTCTGGTTGATCAAGTGTTGGGGACGAAAGTCTCCGGAAAACAAAAATAAATGAGAAGTTTGGCTTGAATGAAGGAAAATCTTCGAACTATTCAGAAGAAAGGGAGCACTTCAATCAGTGTGGGACTGGCTGGAAATTATTTTAGAATTCCAAATTAGAATTTAAGATCTATTTCTGAAAATTGTTCTTGAACGTTTTAGCAACACGAGATGCAACGACGATTAGATATCCTCTCACAACTGATTTCCAAAATGGTGGAGATCACACTGATCGACAAACGTGAGGAAAAAATACCCTTTAATTGGGATGCAGAAGATCATACAATTCTGGAGGCCTGGGATTGGCCAAAAAAATCGAAATCGAAGATATTCTGGCCCCAGTGGAAGCGTTAAAATTCCGGGAGAAGAAATTTTCCCCAGTTTTTTCCAAATGCGTGGATTTTTCTACTTGATTTAATTTTACCTGGATTAACAAGGAGTAGACAACAATTTCTCCAACACCGAAAATGCAAGAGTGGTACAACCTTTGAACGAACACTTGGGCATCACAGTGAAACCCTGTTAAAACCCCACCCTTGGGACCACCAATTTATTTTGGAAATTGCCTAAAATGTTTACATCGCTATAAAGTTTCTCAAGCTTACAATTCCCCTTTAAACATGAGTTTTGCTGTGTTAATTTTTTCATCTAACTGCGCCCACCATCATTCCCAAGCTAGGAACAAATTTTGGAAGAGAGGATGTTCAGGTGAATTTTGTCCATGATTCCACTTCATGTTCCAAGTCACATTTTGAATGGGAAATGTGAGACTGTGCCTCCCTTCATATGGGATATTTCATGAAGAAATCACAGCATGTCCTTGGAAAGTTTGTTCTACTGGAATTGGCAAGTTTGTTGTAATGAGATTTTTATAACATGTACCCTATAGGATTTATGCCAGGACTTGGAAAAAAGTTTATTATGCTGAAAACTTTGTTGTAACGGTATTTGTTGTTACAAGATTTTACTACTTCTGCCTTTTTGAAAAACCACTAATCCCTTTTAAACCGCCACAAGCCTCACAAACAAATGGCGGCGGCTTATCAAGGTTTGACTGTGCTGTATATTTCATAACATGGCATTCAAAAGGGAAATGATTGCATCCTTTGCTGGACATATTTTAGCCACGTTGATGAATGACGAAAGGATGAGGCAACAAGGGAATGACGTCGCTGCCGTGTCTTCAGAGCCCCTGGCATTCATGGCAGGAGTGTATTTCCTCGTGGGACTTCTGGTCGTCGTCGTCATACTGAGTTGTTTCGTCTCCTGCTTCATCAGCTGCATGGCGCGTAAGGCGAAGCAAAACAAAAAGGACGCCGTGACCGCCAGCAATAATGGCATTGCGGAGCAGCAACAACACCTTCAGTTTCCCGGTGAATCTAGAAGGTTGGTTTCCCCCACAATACGGTGCCCACTTCTTTTGCAGCCCGACGAGTCAACCTAATTCAGATTTTCAAGGAAATTAATGGAGGATTGACTGATGATAGGGTGCCCCGAAAAGTTCTCAATTTATTGTAATCTCGTGGCAAAGAATCGTTTGCGACCGGAAATAAAGCTTAGTTGTGAACGAAAATTCTTTGAAACGAAATTAAAATAGCGCTGTGACTATTGGACGCGGACCACAAAAAAGAAAAAGAATTTGTTGTAAGCAGTCACTCGTTACGACGGAATTCTTGGTAATGAGATTCTACTGTATTTTCATCAGGCGAAATGTATGAAAATGATCGTGGTTATGTTTTATTATTTTTTGTTTGCACTCTTGCTTCTAGTTCGGCTGGAAGAACCGGAGCAGTGGAGTCCGGCTCCGACGTTACATCGTCTGTGCATCCCACGTCTGCTCTTGGTGATGTTTCCATTGCCCCTGGCAGTAGTACCCACACCGAACAGGTTCTGCATCCCATGTCAACCGAGAGAGAAATGTAAGCTCATGCATGTCTCATCCGGAAAAAAGAGAATGAGAGATAATTTGAAAATTCTCGGTATTTTTTGCAAAAGCTTGGAAACCTTGGTTGAAAAGTGCGGATTGTTGATGATCAACCGCGAAGCACTGAAGGTGAAGGACCTGCTCATGAGTGGCACTTTCGGACAAGTGTGGACAGCAGTGGTGGATATTTCGGCGGTTGGGAGTCAGTTTGGGCCGTTTATGGGATTCAGGAGGGTTTACATCAAGACAGTTACAGGTTCGTTGGTCTTGAGAAAAATTTTTTTTTCGCGGACCGGCGAAGTTCCGTAAAATGTTTGCAGACGCGCAGAAATTTTTAGAATGCCTACCATAAAATTCTCCAACAAAAATCTTTATAGCAAAAATTAATTCTGGAACCAATAAAGCCAGTACTGTGCAGTGGAATAATATTTTCAAAAATTAGAAAGCTGGGCTCCAAGAAAGGGTTAGTCAGAATAAATACTTTAAATAATAAATTTCAGCTGGTGAAAATTTGTCTGAAGTGCTCCTAGGAGAAAAGCTGGGTTGCAAAGTTGGGTCCCTGCTGCAACCTTTGGTCCATGGCCTGTCGAAAATAATTGTTTGATGGTCCGCGGGAAATTTTCTTCAGCATTATAAATATATTTAAGGTAGTAATGAAGTCTGTTATCTTTGTCTGAAATTCTGGAAAGACAATGTTAGGTAAGATTATTCAATGGAAAGTAAAAGTCGACTTTTCTTCTAATGACACTTCGGACAAATTTTCACCTGCTCAAATAAATTAGCTTAAGGATTCCTTCTGATGAATCTTACTTGTAGCCCAGCTTTGTAATTTTTTTGAAGACGTTCCAATGTAGCTGCTTTACTGATTTTTCGCTTGACTTTTGCAGTAAAAGTTTTGGTTGGAGGACTGTGTGGCGGGTGATTAAAAATGTCTGCCGGTTTCGAAAATTTCATTGAAATTTTTCTGTTCTCGGGCCTAAAAATTTTGGGGAGCATTGGACACTTGAGCGTTTAATCCTCTAAAGAAAAACTCACTGACGATTGTGCTGCATTCGAATTCGTCGGAACGTGTTTTTTTTTTCTTCAGAAGAGGCATCATTATCCCAAGCACTGCTGATGGTTCGTGAAGGCGTCACGTTTGCTGATTTGCAAAATCTTGAGCCTCGAGTGACCAACTCGGGAGTTTTCCATGAGCTCCGTGGCTTGATATGGGATTCCGGTCCACCAGTCCTCGTATATGACTTCCCCGCCCTGGGGAATTTGAAAAAGTTAGTCAAATGAAAAATTTTCCATTTTTACTTCAACGATTTACCTTGTATTTTGAAAAGTTCGCGACATGTCGATTAGATCATGGAATCAAAATCTATCCCAAAAGAACCAATTTTGAAGAAACATGAACGGATCAAACTTCAGTGTGGCATGATTAGATTAGACACGTCTGTGTGGCGTAAAAAAAAAAAAAAAAGTGTCAAATACAGTGAGACCCCGAAATGCGGACGTAATTTGTGCATCAAGAAAGTCCTTAAGTGTAAATGTCCTTAAGTTGAGTCTCATTTTCCCTTACACTTACATTGTATAATTTTTAATTGGTGTTTTATGCACTAAACACTCACAATACTTCCATCAAAATTATACTTATCTCCCAATTGAAGCTGATTCAATCAATATATTTCAACACAATATGGACATTCGAGGAATTCAATACTGATACCTCTGTACAGTCCATAGAAATGTTGGCATTCTCTGTAAAAAATAACATTCAAGTGAAAAAGAGAGAAGGAAGTCACTCTATGCTGGAGGTAATTTTTAAAATTGGCTAAATGAATGGTACTGTAAATTGGGGAGAGAAATGTCCAAGAACTTTTCTTACATCAATTTTAGGGTGGATAATATCTGTTTCTTGTAATTTGGCTTGAAACTTATTTGCAATGTTATCACAAAATGTCCCTATGTTGAGTCAGTGTCCTCATGTCTGGCCTTTTTCTCATCAGTTTTTTTTATGGGAAAATAAGTGTCCCTATGTTGAATTGTCCGCACGTGCGGGTCTCACTGTACTGTATTTAGAACCTTGTACATTGTGGTCCCAAAATGCGGACATAATTGGCACTTGGAACATTGTCCGCATACTGCTGAGTATCCCAAGAACGTGTGCTTGTTCGCTTTGCTCTTTCCCAAAACATACATAGTACTGTATACAGTACAAAGAATTTCACTAAACACATAATTTTGACAAACCAACGTCAGTAATAATCCATATACAGTGTAACGCGCGCGCAATTAGCGCACCTGCATTTTTGGCGTAGAATTTGCCCGAAAACATATCGCTGTGAATGACGCGCACTCAAGCTTTTGCTGGTTTAAAATATATTTTTCTTTTCAGGTAATGGTGTTAATCCTGATGAGTTGAGGCATTGTTACAGGATGATTACCGAATATATAGTTTCCTGTTCATAATTTTCTTTCAGTCACTTATGCCTAGCATTACTGATCATATTTATATTTTTCAAGAAATTTATACCCGCATATCACGTACTCCCCACTTTTTTGCCTTAGTATCCCAAAGAAAAGGTACGCTTGCTTCTCGGATAAATACCGTTCTGTACTTCATAATCAGCAATCGTAGGCTTCAATTTTAATTCGATTGTTTAAATTCGGTTTTCGCCATTGCCTGCAGGTTTTTGATTTCGTGTCGCACCGGCGTGCCGAATGTGCCTCGTCACACTGCAATGAGTTCAGTCGACTGCGTGTCTGAGAGTTGTAGGAACCTGGACGATTGTAGTGAAGCTACGGAGATTGACTCTGTGTCTGCCAGAAGTTTCTCGACGCATGGCATCGTTTCCATATCGCTCCAAGTGCTCTCCGCCATAACTTTCCTTCACGAAAGGAACGTCACGCACGGAGACATCGCGGCAAGGAATTGCGTGTAAGTCATCTATTTTTCACAGGAGGTCTCGTATACGGACAGACCCCCTCCCCTGATGGAACAAAATGTGTGCAAAGTTTATTATGCTGATGCTGAAATTTCCCTCAGAACCAGAAGCCGCAATCTCGTGTGTTGAACTTGAATGCTCATCGCTCTACCGTCAATGATAGACATAAACTCGTTTTTATAATACAGTGAGACCCCCAGATGCGGACATAATTGGTGCATCAGTAGTGTCCCTAAGTTGAGTCTTGTTTTCCCATAGAGTTACATTATATAATTTTTAATCGGTGTTTTATGGAAGAAATATTCTTCAGAGTTCCATGAAAAAAAAATTGTTTTCCACTTGAATTTGATTCAATGAATATTTTTTCTACCCAATAAGAACATTTGGAGCATTGAATAGTATACTGCTGTACAGTTCATTGAAATGTTGGCATCTGTAAAAATATCATCCAAGTCACAAAGAGAGAAGGAAGTCCATCTGTGCTATAGGTAATTTTTTAAATTAGCCTAATGGATGGGAAAGTGATGGGAAAAGTACCAAAGAATTTTTCTTGCATAGTTCTAAGTTTTGGAAATATCTGTTTCTCGCAATTAAGCCTAATAAAAGTTAATTTTCTTGAAATTTATTGGCAATTTTATCATGGAATGTCTTCGTGTTGAGTCAGTGTTGATATGTTGGGCCATTTCTATGATTTTTTATTGAAAAATAAATGTCCCCATGTTGAGGCGTCCGCATGTGGGGGTCTCACTGTATTTTTACACGGCTTATTGAGTGGTTTTTTTTTTCAATGGTGCTGGAGCTGATTTAATGAGCGGATTATGCTGCGAATTTTCGATGTAGACGTGCATTAGTATGGTTTATTAACGTGGGCCGTGTGCAGGATGAATTCAATTGAGCAGTCGAGGTGATATGTAAGCACTGTATGATTTTTCTGCATTTCCTCAGAATGGATGAAGACATGCGAGTGAAACTCTGTGACACGGCGCTGTCTCGTGATCTCTTCCCTTCAGACTACCATTGCTTGGGTGACAATGAAAATCGTCCAGTTCGATGGATGGCGTATGAATCCATTGTTCGACATGAACTGCATCCTCCATCCGACATTGTGAGCAAAGTTGTTAATGTTTTTTTTTCGCAGCGAGTGCCTAAAAGATTTTGTGAAATCATTGAAAGGTTATTTTCTTACCAATTTTATTGCAACGAAGAACTGAGTGAAGCATGGTTCAGATATGTATTTATTGCCCAAAAAGGGTTACAGACATACTGCAAACCTATGTCATACTTCACAAATCAGTACAGTGCATCCATATTACAAAGGCCTTTAAAATGCAAGGTGTACTTTTCCCAATTAAGTTCAGCTGGAGAATGTTTTTTCCCAGCTGAAGTATTTTAGGACTATCTCTAATGGAACACTCTCAAGAGTGTGTTCTATAACAGTGTTCCCCAACCCGGCGCTGGTCTGTGGGAAAATTTCTTTAGCATGATACATTTGTAGAAAGTAGTAATGAAGCCTGTTACCCTTAATTATCCAAAATTTCTTAAAAAGGGACAGTTGACATTATCTGAGGAAAAATAAAAATTAGCTTTTCTTTTTATTAAACTTAAGGCTTCAGACATATCTTCACCTGTCTGAAATATATTATTTTCAGTTTTAAATGTGAGAAGCCTTTCTTGAAGCTCAGCTTTCTATTTTTTTTAAGACATTTCACTATAGCTGCCTATTGGTTTGTTACTTAATTTTTGCAATCAAAGTTTCGACTTTAGGACTTTATGACGGGTATTTAAACATTTTCCTGGTCTTAAAAATTGCATGGAACCTTGCCAGTCTGCAGAAAATTGTATGACAATCTGCCAGTCTGCAAAAGATTTTCTTAAAATTTGCCAGTCGCAAATTTTAAGAAATTTGCAAGCAAAAAAGGTTGGGGAACACTGTACTAGAATGTCTTCTCTGGGTTGTTATCTCTAGGAAAGTTGAGCTGATACTGGTTACTAATTCTAGAAACAGGGAAGAGGATATCTTTTTCTTCTCCTTTTTTTTTTAGCAAAAAGAGGGTGATGCAAAATCTGGAAAGTATTCAATCAATATTTGTGTGTTGACATCTCTGAATGTCTGCATACTTCAAAGAGACTGGTAATGATCTAACACTGTAGGAATGTAATGAAGCTACTTTCATGATGTAACCAAAAGGTAGAGACTGAACATCTTGCAATGATGTTTCACGAAAAAGGAGGTCTATTTGGATGAGGATGAAAACTGGGTGACACACTGGAAAGTTTTGCAATGAAGGGAAACAGGATAATATTTCAGATTACTCTGCATTCTTGTATCATGCAAGTCATACTCCAACACATGTAAGCTCTTGTTTCAAGGGGAAATATCCAAAACTTTAGAAATTGCATGGATACTGAAAAATAGCTTATCTTGCTGATCTGAGTGAGTGTACATAGTTTGCTCTCTTTGAGTGATGCAAAAGTGGTGGTCATCCTTTTTATAGGATAACATACCGAATTCAAAAAAGGAAGTGTACAAAATGCTGAATGTGTGGCTTTTAGAAAATATTTTGTGTTCAATTGCTTTGAATGTGTCTCTTAGTTTCATCCGTTACGTCTCCATTTTATTGTCTGCTGGTCTCAGTTTTATTTTGAATTACTGGGAAATTTAAATACTCGGTAAAGCGAAAAAAAAGACTGGAACTTCCATCAATATTTTCACGCACAACCGTGCTTATGAAGACAGAGCGATTTTCCGAGGGAATATTGTTAAAGTTCTCAAGTCGTCGTTTTCTTTTCATTTTTATTCCTACAGTGGTCATTCGGAGTGTTTCTGTGGGAGTTGAACACGCTTGCCCAAGTTCCCTATGGAGACGTTGATCCGTTTGAAATGCCGAATTATCTGAGAGCTGGATATCGTCTTCCCCAACCCGTCAACTGTCCAGATCAACTGTGAGTACTGCAGTAGTATATTTTATTCCCACTGTTACGACTGTGGTTTATGTTTGGATTTGTTTACTACAGGTACCAAATGATGAAGTACTGTTGGGTCATGAAGCACGCCGAGCGTCCAACATGCATTCAGCTTCTGGTTTCGCTGGAAACGTTCTTGAAAACCCTTCATGCCTATGTGTGAAAGCATTGATAACATTTTCAAAACTACTGTATATGAAAGAGTCAGGTCAGTCGTTTGAAGTCTTACGCATTCCCCGGGAACTTGGGGAATTCACAGTAATATTTCAAAGGTGAAACTCGCCAATGAAATTTAATAAGGATTGGTTTCATTTGTTCTTGGATTCATGGGTTTTTTTCAGCCCAAGGCGTAATTTTTGCTTTTCACTGATTTTGTTTTTTTTTCTGGAGTGGGTAGTTCAAGAAATGACGCAGAAGAGAGATTTTTTCGAGGATGTTGGAAAATTTTGAATTTGCCTTTTCGACTATTACGAAATTTCTTGTTTGTTAACAGAAACTTAAAATTGATCTGTGATATCCTTACGTGAGTGACTAGCATTTTTCCTTACTATTTGATTCATGTGTGAAAGCGTGAGTGATTGGAGGCGGGAATCCGAGGTTTCAACCCACATCTGAAAATTGCCAAAGATTTCTTCAAATTTGATGATTGGGTTTGGGTTCGATATTGAGTTGAATGTTGATTTTTACAGTGTTTCGTATCTTTTTTGAGGTATGTGTTCATTAATCAATAGGGTTTCGAAGTGTTCTAGCGTGTTTCGTTTTTATATCAATTTTGAAAATGAAATTCCTTCGTTTTGCGAACTGCTCGTCTTTTTTGGGAACTCGTTATTTTTTTTCGACGCTTCTGAAGAAACTAATACCGCGAGAAAAGACTCAATACAGGTTTTTCATTGAAACTTGAAGCAAATTCCAACGCAGTTTCCATTCGTTCCTCAAAAAAAAAGTCCTCGATTCAAGATCATTTTTGCTTTCTTCAGTGATATGCAAATCTCTGCTGCGAAAGTTAGTTGTGATATCGGTCAATGACGATTCACGAGTCTCGACTGAAAGCAGGTGAGCTGAAGCTGGATCCACAATCATGATTTGAATAATTTACTGTATTCAAATTTTTATCTGTGTGATTACAGTCTCCGGGAACTATACTGTCATTGAGATGCTGGATGTTTAAATGTTTGATCTAAATCCAAAAGCTATTCATAATGGCCTCATCAATTAAAATGTATTCTGATACCGCTGAATTGATGGTGGCTGTATCATACAAGAATACAGTGTGACCCCAAGATGCAGATGAAATTGATGCATCAAGAGTGTTCTGACATTGGAATGTCCCTCAGTTGAGTCTAATTTTCCCTTAGACTTCAATGCTAATATATTTAATGTATTCTCATTTTTGTCAAAAATTAGAAATGAATAATCTTCTGAAAATTTAATAAAAATTGTTTCCCTCAACTTGAAGTTGTTGAAAACAACAGCGCAGAACAAAATCACATAGAATCTGATCTTTTTGCAAAAGGAGATCAAAAAAGCTAAGAAAAAGAATCAGTCTTGTTGGAATATGCACAGGTGATGAAAAAAACTCTGAAGAAAGGACAAAATCAGCTTACTTGTGATTATGAATTTATGAATTTGTCATGAAATGTATTTTCAATTTTTTGCATGTAAATAGCTTGATTTGTTCTAAATACATCAAAATTAATAGATGAAATATTTTAATTTCTTGGGGAAATTTCAGAAAAGTGCCAATCTCCAGATGTTGGGCCTGATTTTTTGGTTTTCAAGTTTCCCTGAATTGCATTGTATGCATGTTGGGTTTTCTGCATATTGGGGTCTCACTGTATATTGATACCCAATGCCACATTGGCCAACTTTCAATGTTTAAAATATGAATTGTAATTTATAGAATGTTGATGCTGTAAAATCATGTTAACCCCAAGGCTCCTGTTGGAAAAATGTATGAAGAAATTTGTACCCTTATGATAAATTAAGTCAACATTTCTGTGGGACACGTAAATGTTTTCAAGTGCTTCCACAACAGATACAGGATAATGAGAATTGTTTCAAATGTCAAACTTTGTTATGAAGTATACATTTTTAAACTCCTTTTAGTTCAAACCAGCCCTGTTTGAAATTTTCTAAGACTGAATTGATATAAAGTAACTGGAGTATAAACTGAAAAAAGTGCTTGTGTAACAAGAGCAACCACAGTTTTAAAACTGATGTAAATTGAATGAGATGAACAATATTTTTCTTTGTTGCTCGTGCTGTGAATTGCTAAATTCTGGAAGGAAGCTTGAATTCAACATGCTTGAAACTTTCTGCAATATTTAATTTTGTTCAAAAACCTGAGCATTTCCATTTCCATGAGATTTTTCAATGCTGCCAAAATGGATTTTCCATTTCTGCACAAATGAGTACAAGCAATGCCTTTGGCCTGTATATGCAAGGCAAAATATTGGTTATTGTTGTGCTGCAATTACAGTTTGAATGGTAATCTCATTAAAACAAGATTTTCAGAACAGGGTTTCTAGAAAATAAATTGCTGGGAATTTGTTGTGACAGAATTTTAACGTACTGTACTGTACTGTATCATCTATTTGGAGCTGGAATCTGGCTCAGTCTGCGGTTTAAGCAACAAAGCTTGTCATTATCCTGAAAATCCATGACCGCGTTGCACAAGTAATTCCAGAGCACTTGCATCCTGTGTCTGGTGACAAAGTCATGATCCATGTGGATCATGTCTGTGAACGGCGTCAGTCCCTTTTGCTCCCAGGCCTCAATCATTCCTCGGGTGCTGCTCCAAATCCTGACGTTGTGGCCTCGGAAGGTTCTCTCAGCCCAGATGACAGCATTTTGAGCGAATTCCGTGTTGTAATATTCCAAGGTTTCCAACGGGATGATGGCTCCGTCTGGATTCAGCTTGTGGTTCGCAGCCCAGAGAACGTCTGTGTCCGGAAACTGGGTTTTGATCACGTGTGCTAAATGGAGTACCGAGGCTTCGAGGTGGGCGATCGCCTGGAAAGTCCTTCAGAATTTTTAAGAACCAAGAAAATGGAATAAGTATACTGTAACTCTACAATAATGTACGGTACTTGGAGCTGTCTACTTTCAGATGGGGCCCCAATAGATGTGGACGCATAATTGGTGATTGGACCTTACCCTATTATGTCTGAGCATCCGCATGTTGCGGATCAGATTTTCCCCATAGACTTCAATGAGAACATATTTCATTGGTTCTCTGCCGTTATTCAGAAAATTAGGAATAATAAAGTCCCCAAAAATTTAAATTAAAATTTATTTTTCAACTTTGAGATACAGAAAATAGCCATGCATTTGTGATGGAGAAAATCTCACAGGAGCAACAGAGCACAGAGCAAGTCTTGCTTTACTGTGCACAGATGATGGAAAAAGCGTAAGAGAAAAGGAGAAGCCCACAATTAACCTGTTTTTATTAGGATTTACAGTGATTTTATAAAGTAATGTACTTGTAATTTTTTGCATTAAAAAGCTATTACCCAGGAATGTTAAATTCCTTTCCTAAAAAATGTTGGACATATGTCTAATTGATAAATTGCTTGATCCTGTTTTCATATGTTTGCCCACATGTATGACTAATCCATTTCACCCCTATTTTTCATCCAGGCAGCTTATCTTCCCCCAAAAATTGGAAATGCTGAAGAAGAAAAAGTCACCCCCAAATTCCTGACAGGAAATAATTGGTTCTCCCTTTTTGTGGCCAGCTTAGAATGTTCAACTATTGGAATTTATCCTATCCTCATGACAGTTGACAGATATGATAAATGATCAAATCTGGCCCCTTCTTATAGAAATGATGGAAGAGTGTCCTTATCATAGCACCCACTTTTAATGAATGGTTCTGTGTTATTACTTAATGTGATGTTCGTATTGTTGTCCATATGTAGTTGTGTGTACTTTCAACTGCTGCTACAAACCTACAATAAATGATTCAAGTACAGTTGACCTCCTCACAATGGACCTCCTGCACAAGGGATTTTTTCACAACAAACTGTCTCTGGACTGCATTTTTTCACTCCTGCGCAATGGAATAAATCCACATAACAGACTTCTGTTAGTTTAAAATTAATGTTAGAACTAAAAACTGTAATATTTTAATAATTGAATTTGCATAACAGACCAAGTCTGTTGCACAAATTGAGTCTGTTGTTCAGGGGCTGACTGAACTGTGCAGTTTGCTGTCTAAATACAGTTTGGCAACTTCTAATTGAAAATCTTGCCAGGAATGTACTGTGCTACTCACTCTGGAATGGTTCTGCTTTTATCCAAGTTGGCAGTGAACCACACACCACCACCAACCACCATCAGAGATACAGGTCCAATAGCAACAGTATTTGCAAACAGGGTTTTGTTGGCCAGCCAGGGGTTCCAGACAAACTCAAGCCTCAAACCCTGAGAGGGATACACCAGTGACATGGGCTTGTGTTTGTGCCAGTTTCCATAACCAGCACCTCCCATCAGACTATGGGTTGCATTCACCAACTCGCGAATAGTGGAATCACCAGTGAACCCAAGCACAAGTTGATGGCCTTTTTATTTTTAGAATAAAAGAGCAGATATTTACAAGTGGGATCTTATTGTTGCAACAAATTTTATGGTTTAACAATTTTTTATAATTTATGTATCATCAAATTAATAGATAAGGTTCCTTCGCATCAATTGCCACAATCTTCTTAAAACATTTTATACCCAATTTCTTGTTACAAACAATTTTCTTGGCCCCAGAACTGGCTTTATTTGTGCATAATCATGTATATTTTAAAGTTTTGTTTGAGCAGTACTGCAGCAATAACAGATGACGGATATGGTTATAATCTTTTGTGGCACGTCAAATTAGAGTCAAACAAAATCTGTGTTTATATGCAAGTTTTATTCCATTAATTCATCTGTAAAATTCCCATGATTTTTCCATTTTCATATAGAGCCTAACCAGTATAAAAATGCTTGGGTTAAAATCCTTCGGAATTTCAATGAATTTATTAACTCTAAATAGATAAAACTACTGTATTCCCTTCCATATATGATACTGCTGAAAAATTAGGATGCGAGCTGATGTTATTCATTTGATGGATCGATAGCATGCATTAAATACGATAATAAATTTTTACTTTATGCACGCAAGAATATAAGAGAAGCAAACAGAGACTTACCGGTTGCCATCTCCAGACCTTGAGAACATTTCAACACATCACTGCTTGAATACTCATGCATTCTACACCCAGTTGGCACCCAGTTACCTGAGTTGTCAAATTGACCATCAGAAGAGAGGAGGGATGATGCGCAGGATGGATCGTCTGCTGATGGACGTTTTGCTAACTCCTTCATGCGACACCTGAGTGACCACGACTTAATTCCTCTCAAACACAGATCAGTGAGCAGAACAGAAACAACAATTTTTCCGAACAAGGCTGCTGCTTTTCTATAATCTTCTCTAGACATCTCTTTATAAACTACTGTCATAGCTTTTGAAGACCAGCACAAACGAGAGAAAAATCGTTGGATTCGTAGCGATTGTGTGTTTTACGTCGGCTGCTCTCCCGCGAAGTGTTGGAATCCAGTACAGTACAGTACTGTGTATCGAGGATTATGTACAATACAGTTTTCGGGCACTATATGCGAGAGATGCATTTTCGATTCGTTTCTAAAAAATTATAAGCGTCATCTAAGTGATTCTTACGTCAAATACAAAAACTGTCCACGGCACCCCCATTATCACCCGTGATACTGTAGTAACGTCTCTCTTCCCGGGAGGCGTTCCGCCGGCTCGAGATGAACGGCGGATTTGATAAAGTTGTTGTCAATGTAGTTATTTGGGGAAACTTTTTCATTATCGACGGCGCAGTGCTGTAGATTTTTTCGAAAAGTGTGGAAATCAAAGAAAATGCTTCCATGTGCCCTCCAACCCCTTGTGAACTGAATTTTTCTGTATTACTTTCTCAGACGATTCAAACTATCAAGTGCGGCTGATCGGAAGATAGACTGCAAATCATGACGTTTCAACCGCTGAACCCGAAGCCTTTCTTGAATGCTTTGACTGGGAAGTTGGTCATCGTTAAACTGAAGTGGGGTCACGAATACAAAGGCTTCTTAGTATCCGTCGATGGATACATGAATTTACAACTTGACAAAACGGAGGAAATCATCGACGGATCGCCGACGGGAAACCTGGGAGAAGTTCTGGTCCGATGCAATAACGTGTTATACGTTCGCGGAGTGGAAGATATGGGCGAAGAAGGGGAGATGATGCAGTGATCTCCATTCGGGTTTCTCTTGTTTCTTTGATTGTTTTGTACTATTCGTGGATAAGTATAAGCGTGAGCTGAGCTTTGATGCAACCAATTTCAGCGTTCTTCTTTGATTTTATCTTCGTGGTCCATTGCTTACGATCGGTATTTTTTACTCTACGAAGCGGTATTCTTACGATGACGCTTGCCGGTGCAGTGCAGCCGTCTTCGCGTGTTAATCTAACGGCCCTGAAAGATGAAACAGGGAAACGTTTAATAGACTTGCTGGATGAATGCACGGGAAGAAAGGTATTCATTCGCCGAAATTCAATGTTCGGATCGTATTAATTTTTAATTATCCCGAAGGCAATCGTTTGGGACGAGAGTTTGACGGGACCTATTGGACTAGTGGCAGAGTACTCCGTACTGAAAGAGCATGACGTCGTGAAAATGTTCCCTCTGCGTCCGGGAAGGCTGAGCGAGGCACCGAACGTTCGTCATGTAATTTTCATATGCAAGGCTCGTGTTGAGTTGATGGATGTAATAGCAGATTGCTTGATGAGGTAACATTTCAATGACACCACGTGGGATGTGTTTCTCTGCTCGGTTATATTCATAAGCATAGAAAGACCAAGTGCACAAAAGAGCGGGTATCAATCTCATCATCCTCACGAAGGCTTTTTGACCTGATCAGTCGGTCGGCTCTTGTGTGTGCTTCTTCTGTTGTACACATCCCCGAGGTGCTTTCCGTTTTTTTTTTTTTTTTTTTACATTTTTTCAGCGTTCGTTGAATGAGTTGTTGAAATTCGTTCCAGAGAGGACAGTGCCCGCAGCGCTACGAAAGAATTCCACCTTCTTTTAGTCCCAAGAGCTTCGCTTCTTTGTGAGAAGCGACTGAAGGTAAATCTTGGTGGTCAGCCTAGTGTTTCAAATGACGAACTTCCTCAGATAAATCGAGTACTGTATATCATGTACTGTTGAACCTGCACCTTCCTCCCTTTACTTAAACATGAGAAAAAATACTGTCTCGATCTGATCGCAGGCGAAATTTTATCGATCCTTCAAGTGGTGCCATTGCGAAGGAAATCAATTTTTCATCGGATACGTAGGTTAACATTTTGAAGAAAGTTCGTTTGCTGCCTTAAAGGTCTTATTTCTACCGCAATAAATCTTATGCTGCTAGATGTACTTGTCACACCGGACAGACAACCAATCTTAACTTTTCAGGGGCTTATGTATACAGCATTTAAACTTGCTTTGCAGGACAAAGGCGTTTATGGGACTCTGAGCTCTGTTCAAGAGCTCGGGATAGACTTCTACGTTTTCGATACGGATGTCATCTCCATGGAGTGGGCGGATTCTTTCAAGGTGAACATGGTTTCCGTTCTTCTGTGAACGTGTGAGAAACAATTTTTTTTGTAGGAATGCTATCTGGAAAATGATACGACGAGTCTTTTCCACGCCGCTCGTGGATTGATGAGTCTGCAGAGAATATTCGGTCCGATTTCGAAAGTTTACGGCAAAGGTTTATGTGCGCGTCAGCTATGGGACCTCGTGAGCAAAATGAAGAGGGAAGAAGTTGGCTCCGAATCTGTGAGGGTGAAAACGGATGCTTGGTACTCCAGATTGGGTCAACCGCAAATCGATGCTGTTGTGCTCGTCGATCGTTCCGTGGATCCAATCAGTCCGATTGTGACTCAGCTAACGTACGAGGGACTGATCGACGAACTATTCGGCATTAGAAATAGTGAGCTGTGACTTGAATTCGAAACTTGGGTTGACACAGTGGTATTCCTTGATTGCTGTATTGCTTGGAGGCCAATTATGAACATTCACGGAGAAAACTAGCGATTGAAAGTAAGTTCCTGAGGCGTTGAAAAGCCAAAAGCAAGGCCAATTTACTCGGAAGTTGAATTGTTGAAAATAGGTTTTTCAGCATTTTCGTGAAATGTGTTCTCTTGGTCACAAACAATTACAAGATAGATAAACGGGAGAACCCAAAATACGGACGATTTGACTTACGAGCACTTGAAGCTGAGAAAATCTGGACGATGTCTCGACATACATACAGTGTACCGGAACGTACACTTTTCCATCATTTCTAGAAAAATAAAAAAGCTTCATTCTTCTAAATCTCTCCGACAAATTGTGACTGAAAAATGAATTTCATGATACAGTAAACATACTCTGATTGAATTTCCAAAATAGGTTAATTTTATTATATTTCTCAGTTTGTTTCATCATATGTTCGCAGTAGCAAGATTTTTTCTTTGCTTCAAGAGCTCCTTTCGATGCCAAAAGATCAGATTCTGTGTGGTTCTCTTCTGTGCGGTCATTTTCTGTACACTTGAAGTTTAGAGAATGTATTTAATTCAATCTTTTGGTGGCATGATTCCCAAGTTTTCTATGAGGAGTACCGATTAAATACGGTGCCGTTGAAGTCTATGGAAAACTATGATCCAACTTGGATACAAGGTCCAATTACGTCCGCATCTTGGGGCCCCATTGTATTGTGAATTACTTCAAATTGAGTGATATTCTATCGTTGTTCGAAGTCTTCAATTTCTAAATATTCAGGTTGAAAGAAAGAGAGACGATTGCAGTTGTTCATGTTCCATGCTTGTGTGGAACTATTCGGACTTCGTTGCGCTAAACCTCAGTGGTGATCAACATTATCGTAATTTTCAGGATTTTCGCACGGAGAATTGCACCATCTAGATTAATTTTTCTCAGAGCTTCAACATTGTCCTGATGAAAATTTAGCTTTTCTGAAGCCGGTGAAGGGACTAGGGGAGCATCACTCGGCAGGAAGTTGAGTTTATTGATGAAGTAGAGTGAATGAAAGAGTTTTTCTGAATACGTGAAGCATTTCTAGTATTTCGATGTTGACGAAGGTGTACTTCGCACCAGTCTTGAAACCACTGATTCAACTTCTTCGTACTGTACGTAAAGTCTGCTATGCATCAAATACTTGTTAATTTCCTAGATAGTGTGAAACTTCCTGGAGAGAAATTCTCGCGGGATGATACAGGGTCCGATCTTTCAATGGAGACTAAACAAGTCATATTATCGTCGAAAGAGGATTTATACGCTGAAATCCGGTGAGAGGGATGATTGTGTGTAAAGAAGGAACGGAATCTCATACATTTCTGTATGCAGTGACAAACATTTCAATGCTGTTGGCTCGGTTTTGAGTCGGAAAGCGAAACAAGATTTCCTCCAATACACCGCAAACTCCGAGAAAAATGTCGGTGAACTTAAGCAACTCGTTGCAAAGCTTCCGTATCTTCAGGCTGCCAAACTTTCGCTTGCAACTCGTGAGTTCACTTGGTGATGTATGATTTCGTTCGATTTTCATGCAGCGGGTGTCTTTTCTTTTTCAGATACCACGATTGCGGAGTTGATCAAGGAAGCCACGGACGAGGACGATTTCCGAGAGACCATACAAACGGAACAAGAGTTTCTCAATTGTGTTGGAACGAATAAAATCAATTCCTTCATTGAGGATTGCATCAGTCGCAAAGAAGCTTTGTCTAAAGTTGGTATTTTTTGGTTGCCTTTTAATGGTGTTCGATCTTAGTTTCAGAGTTCTAATGGGTTCTCGATTGTAATTTCCTCATTGAGGAGTTTTATTCTATCTGATCAACGATCATAAGGGGACATTGGAGTCACTGTTTCCTCATGTTTCAAAGAAATTCAGGATGTAACCGAGCACTCATAATGTTACGAATAAAAAAAATTAAAAGCCTTCCGAGCTTCATTTATACGTTTTCGCATCATCTCCGAATAACGATGGTATCTATGGCTAAGCTAAATCCCATCCTTTCAGACATAGAATATGGATTTTTTCAAATGTACCAGTTTTGTTCAAATCTGATCGTCACTCTGGAATAATCTAAAAATCCTCAGTTACTTGACGGTCGCTCATCATTCATCGATTTCCTTTTTTTTTCTGAAATACTGAGGAGGCTCAAAACTCTTCTGAAGATGGCCATCTCTGGTCTGGTGCATTGCGTGTGTCCGAAAATGTAATGGTTTAAAATTCAGTTTTGCCCCGAGATGCGGGACTTGATTTGTATTTGAACCTTGTCAGAATGTCCGCATTTTGAATCGATGTGTTCACTCGGAATACTGTATGTATAATTTGTTCTCAAATTCATCAAAAATAAGGAAGAAGTCCCCAAAATTGAAAAAAAAAAAAGATTTTTCTCTACTTCAAGGTACAGAAAATGATCGTACGGAAAAAAACCACACCAAATCCGATATTTTGGATTGAAGAGGAACCCAAAAAGCGAAGAGCAAGTCTTTTTGTGCACAGAGGGAGAAAAAAAGAAGAAAGGAGCACAAAATTAGCCCGTTGTTTATCTTGAATCGGATGCAATTTTATTAGAAAATTCACTTTCAATTTTTGAATATATAAATAGCTCAATTTATCAATTTTTTCAAGCGATATAAGAAATCTGGAAAAATGAAAATATTCCATTTGTCTATAATTTTGGTAGTGTTGTTACAGGTATCTCTAGAAATCATTCACATGCATTAGTGTTTCGAGTTTCAAGTGTTCCTAAGTTCAAGCGTCCTTATGTTGGTGCCCTACTGCTAAAAATAGTGGGGTTGCCAGATGCGGAAGCAAAGTGCGACTGTGTATCTTTTGAAAATTATTACCTCTAATGATTGTTGGACGCAATATATTTAAATGTATGTCAAGATCCCCTGTGAGCATGTTATGAAGAAGCATCTTCAAAATATTGTACTATAAAATGAATCCCTTCACGAACAGGTTCTCCGTCTGATGTGTTTGCAATGTTCAACCAACGGCGGACTTCCTCAACGAGTCTTGGAACACTACCAGCGTGAAATCCTAAGAAACTACGGCTTTCAGCATTCCGTCACGTTGCTGAACCTGGAGAAAGCCGGGCTTTTAACGAGTCAAGTAAGCTCTTGTCAATGGTTTCATCTCAGTAAGCTGAACTGTTATTGAGGGGGGTTATGTTTTCCAGACCTGTGCCAACTACCCTTATTTGAGGAAAGCCCTGAAGCTAACAGTGGATGATGTGAGTGAACAGAAGCCAATGGACATTGCGTATGTCCACAGTGGATACGCACCTTTGTCAGTTCGCCTCGTTCATCACTTGACGAGGAAGGATTTTAAATCCGTGGATGACGCTTTGTGTGCATTACCTGGGCCTTTGGTCAACGACGTGCAGCAATTACCCAGTGGAATGCAGCACCGGAACTGTGAGTTACGCTTATTAAAGTTTAGACCAGTGTGATTTTAATCTTCTTTTTTTTTCAAGATTCCGAAGGGAAAGTGGAGGATGGAGAGAATATTACCGTGGTCTTGGTATTCTTTCTTGGAGGCTGTACGTTCGGGGAAATCTCCGCATTGCGATTTCTTTCACAACAAGACAACAGTGAGTTGATGTTTTTTCCCTCTACGAATACATTGGAACTGATACAGACTGTCCGACTATGGACACTTTGAACTCGAAAATCTGCCCCGAAATCCGGACAATATCTAACGATCGATATGGACAGTATTTCTAACGTTTATAGAAAAAGGGAAATGCGTTGTTTTTCTGAATTTCGTTATCTCTTGAACAAATTGAGCTATTTATACGGTATCAACAAAAAATGGAAAGTAGTGTGAATTACATAATAAAATTACTGTGATTCACAATGAAAAACCGGCTAATTTTTCTCCTCTTTTTTTTCCGAGTTTTTTCATCGTGTGTGAAGTACAGCCAGACTTCCTCTTGTTCTTTGCTTCTTGAGCTCCTTGTGATGGCAAAAAATCAAATTCTGTGTGATTTTCTTCTGCACAGTTGATTTCCGTAACTGGAAGTTGAGGTAAACAATTTTGATTGAATTTTTGGGGACGACATTCCTAATTTTTGATGAACAGGGACCAATTAAATACGTTCCCATTGAAGTCTATGGCAAAATTTTATCCGAAATATGGACGCTCCAACGTTGGTGCAAGGTCTAAACACCAATTTTGTCCGGATCTCGGGGCCCCCACTTACGATCCTTCAGTCATTTTTCTCTTGATTTTTCTGAAGGTACCACGGAGTACTTGATAGCCACGACAAAGATCATCAATGGCAAGACGTTCCTGGAATCCTTGGAAGAAACCCAACGCCCTGTTTAATCATGGAATTTTGAATGTTATCCCAAATTTTTGCGCATTGCTTATTCATTTTTGGCCATATACAATACATTGTTGCAATGAAAAAAAAATTCATTTGTATGAGATGTCCGGAAAACTACCATGCTGAGATTAATTCGTGGGTTATCTGATTTTTGTCTGAAGACTTCCGGAAGGTTTATTCTTTGTCGATTTTGAAGACTGTCGCGATCTACCGCATTTTAATTTAACAGAGAACTGTCAGAAAATTGATCATCTGCAGTAGAACTTTTGTGTGAATGAGCATTGCTGCATACCAGGGTACGGTACATAAGATTTTTTATTTTTGAAGTACAGTAGTTAAACTGTTGAACCTCGATATAATATTTCGAACCGCTTGAAGTCGAAAATCTCACCATGACGATTATTTTCGAGTCCCTTTCTAAATTTCCGCAGGCACCCCGCATTAAAAAACTCCCTAACTCAAAGGCCAACCCTAACAAACCTTCATGGCTCGAATTTTCTGGAGGCCTTCTAAGTACTATTCTATTTACAGTACATAGGAATGAGATAAGTTATATAAGTGTAACGATGTATTTTGAAAGGAATTAATAGGCTAATTTGGCAAATGAACCCGTGCCTCCAACTTCAGCATCTTGTCAACTCATTTGAGAAGCAATTCAAGGCTCAGAATATCACCAATTCCTATTTCCTGTGTATTAGTTACATATTTTTTCTTTTCTCAACTCGAATGCTCATTTCCTCGACTCGAATGATTGTTGGTCCAGTGAAGTTCGACTTGAAGAGATTCCATGATACGTGTTCCTTCTTTTTGAAATTTACTTTATTCAGCCTTTTTGAGCTTCTAAATATTTTAACCAAAAATTTGACGGAAGGCTGAGTTTAATTCATGCTGGATTTGAAGCGAACAGAAGAAAAGCTAACTTTTCCATTCCGTGGTTAACTTCTGGACATCTCAAATTCGTGTTGAAATTTATCTCCCGAGACTGGTTGTTTGAAAGTTGTCGGTGTGTGTTTCTTTTTATTTCAATTTTAAAGGCGTCTGTAATGCCTCCGAAGTGGAAAGATTTACAGGTGAACTTGCGGCCTGAAATTCTGCAAGCGTTGGAAGTCGGTGGCTTCTCAGTTCCTACGATTGTTCAGGTTGGAATTGCTGTTCAACTGACGTTTCTCGACCCGAGGGACTTTTCATTGATTCCTATTATAATTTCATATTTTCAGGCTCGAACGGTTCCGCTTTTCTTGAAGAATAAAGATGTTGCGGTTCAAGCCATCACTGGCAGCGGGAAAACGTTGGCCTTTGTCGTGCCGATCTTGGAGATTCTCTTGGTTAGTAGGAATGGTCTCAACTGTTCCGTTTTGTGACTGGACATGCGATAGTCACGAAGTTCGTCATCTATTTTTCTACGCTTGAACCAATTGTTGGATTTCTTGGTGTTCTTTTTCTTTTTGTACAAGAGCCATCATTCAATTGAAAGAAACCGTCCGGTTTCAGGGTTCCTGTTCGTGACTGAAGTTGTGAAGTTAGCGTGATTAATAAGCAAACAATGTCAAGACTCGAGAATCCCTGTAAATCTGACGATGCGTGAAGGTGAATTCACCGCAGATTAAGTCTGGTGTTCATTATTGTCTGTGTACATGTGAAATCAATCACGAAGCAAAGACGGTCCCCGTCTTTTATGAAAAATTTCGAGTGATCAAACGCACATTTACGCTAAAATAAGTGTACGCTTGGGGATGGTCTCATCCGCTCTAGTCAAATTGTGCACTTGAATGAAGTCTCTGAAATTGGCTACTTTTTTGAACAAAGCTAATGCCTATTCACTTGAGTACCACGCTTCCTTGTTGAAGACGCGCGACGAGGTGTTCGGGACAAGTCTTGGGCGAAAAAACGGATTCACGCCGAATACGCGCACTTCCATTCATATGAAAACATTCACGATTTATTCTTCTGTAGAAATTAGTGATGAGCTCAGGAAAAGGAAGATGGTCAGGATTAGTCAAATTGATGCACGTGTTAATTTAACTTGGATGCAAAGTTCCTTACTTCTTTCAAATTAAAATGTCATTCTGAATGAAGTGCTGTACACAAAAATCTTGTTACAGCGAATACCTCTACAGCACATTTTTCAGTATCTTAAAGCCAACTTTTTCTCAAATCCTGGCAGTCCCATTGAGTGCATTTTGAAAAAAATCTTGTAAAAACCTTCCCAATTCCAGTATAACAAACTTTTTAAAGATTGTTCAATTAATTCTCCAGGTAGAATTGTCCTGACTATAAGGCAGGTACAGTCTGAAAATTCCATCAATCCCAAATGTGGTTGACTGGTTCTTGTAGCATAGGTGGAAAGTGTAATCAATGACAAAATGCTTCCAAATTGTTCCATGACACATCATCCTCCCAGAATGAAGAGGTTGATGCAACTGAAAAATGCATGATTGAAGTACACTAATTTTTTTTTCAGAAGATCACTCAGTTTTTGAACAATTATGGAAATCTGAGAATGCCAGAAAAGTAAGATCTAATATTCTAATTGAGTATTGGTAGGTTTGATTTGAAAATTCTTTCATGTCATTAATTTTTGCGGTGTGGAATTGCGCGTTGTACCTGCGTAAATATGGTATACATTTTTATGAATTTCCGTTCAACTTCTCCCGTGAAAGCCTAGAACCGCAGCTGAGGTTTATTCTTCAACTATAGGAGTATCTCGTTACAACGAACTACAATATTGGTTACAATGAAATCGTTTTTCAGGTCAGGTCCTTGCCCAATAGCAATAATGCAATTCAAATCGCTTTGAAACAAATTTACTGTATTTTTATAACGAAGCATTTTTTCCGGTCCCAACAGCTTCGTTTGAACAAGATTTCACTGTGATTTTTTTTTTTTTTTTTTTTTCAGAGGAGAGAGGACCCATGGAAGAAGCATGAAATCGGCGCAGTGGTGATTTCCCCTACGAGAGAACTGGCGTCTCAGACGTGGCAGGTGATCGAGCAATTCCTGTCGGGTCCCGTCCGGTTACCCGCCAAGTTCCGGTCCATGCTTCTTGTCGGAGGAACGGATCCGTCCGAAGACGTGACGAAATTCGAAGCAGACGGAGCAAACATCATAGTTGCCACGCCCGGTCGATTGGAAGACCTCTTGAAGAAGAAATCTGGCGGTTCCGATCTTGCGTGTCACGTCCGACGCGTTGTGAGTTGCATCAGTGCTGCTTGAAGTTTACGGCCAACCGTTTCCAGAAACTTGATTCGAAACGTTTTGGCAGGAAATTGTCGTTTTGGATGAAGCGGATAAGCTGCTGGAATTTGGGTTCGAACGAACTGTCACGACTATCCTCAGCTACTTTCCGAAGCAGAGGCGAACTGGTCTATTTTCTGCGACGCAATCAGAAGCCCTGAATCCACTCATTAAAACAGGAATGCGGAATCCTGTGCAGGTATGGAATTCTCGGGAGATTACCATTGCGTCGTTTTGATTGGGTTGAAAAATACTCTGAACATCAAAATATGATAATTTAATGTGCAAGTATGAGGTCTGTTGACATTAACCGTGAAGTGAGAAATGTATACAGCGTGTCCCCGCGTAACGTGCGTTTCGTTATGCCGAAATTTTTAAATGTGAAACGCTATTCCCATCAAGGTTCCATTATGAAAGATTTAATTCATCCCAGGCTTTCAGCAAAACACTACAATAAGCCTTAAAACCTGTGTACATCCTAGTTTTTAGTGTAAGATTGTGGATTTCGAATTGAGTTCTACAGATGGAATCTTTCCACAACGAAATTCAAGGTACCACAAAAATAAAATTGTTGTAGACAGAGTTCTGTTGCGGAGATACCCTGTAACATGGGGGAAAACCTTGTGGGACGAAAAAAATTTGCTATGCGGATAAAATTTTCGTGGGCAAGATGATTACATTTTATAAATCTGGGCAAGTGTGTGCTCTGAACTTTCTGAATTTCATGGATTTTATGTGCTAAGAGAAGCAGAAGTAAAGTATGTTCTTCCTTTTTTCATATTCCTCAATATTTTTTTTTAATTTGAAATGTTGAGCTTGAAGCGTGTTCAAATTTATGAGTTTATTTTAAGTAAAAAAAAATCTTCTGCGAAAACTTTTTTTTTCGCTAGTGACTTTTTCCTCGTCCTGAATTTTCTTCTTGCGGCTTTTTCGTTGCTCGGGGACGCATTAATTCATTTGATGCTTTTCTCGGATCTTTTCCGGGCAAAGATAAAGAGTTTTCTGTGGCTAGATGTCGCTAATGTTTTAAGTTTTATTTCGGTTCGGCACCAAGTTATCTGGATCTTTTGAATCTGCGTATTGTATCTGCATCTTCGTTATTGGATGGAATCCGAACCCATGTACAGTAATTTGGTCAAGGTGGCGACTCGAGTTGGTTTAATCGAATGCTTCGCAGGTCTTGGTTCGTGACGTGGTAGCTTGCCAGGATGCGCTGAATACTCCAGGGACTTTGGAAAATTTCTACATGACGTGCACTGAAGTTGACAAGTTCGACAACCTCGTGCGCATGCTGCAAACGACGGAATGTGTCGAGGGAAAAGTGTTGGTTTTTCTCGCCACGTGCGCTTGTGTGGATTATTTTTCGTCTGTGCTTCGATTGTGAGTCGTTTATCTTCCAGTTGACTCCTTTAATTGGAGAAATTCATTTCGCATTTTTATTTTTTTTTTAAGGATTCTGGGAACACAGAGAAAAGTGTTGAGCATGCACGGGAAAATGAAAACCAAGCGGAACAAGATTTTTCAACGCTTCAAGGATCTGGATACCGGTACGGTTTTTTGTTGCACTGTGATAATTATGAACAGTATTTTTTATTCCAGTCGTACTCGGATTAACTCGAACCTCACTATGTTGATCTTTTTTCCCCGAGTTACTTTCTGAATTCTCTTCAAAACGAAAAATTAAAAACCTCACAACTCTAAAGCTTTCCCCCTCAAACCTCTTTTACTCGAAATTTTTGGAAGTCCTTTCGGCTTTTATTTTTATTGACACAGGAAAGAGAAAAGGTATACAAATGTAACTTGATGAGTTTCGAAATGAAGGGAAAGACTAATCTGGAAAGTAAACCCTTGCCTCCAAGTTCAGCATCCTGTCAACTCAATTCCTAGGCCTAGAATATCACCAATTACAATTTCCTGCAATTCTTCATCCTTCGCTCCAACACAAATCCTTATTTCCATTACATTACTCAATTTTTTTTTTTCCTGGACTTCGAACTTCTGTTTAGAAGAGGTTTCTCTGTTTCTTATTGTTGATTCCTGATGTGTCAGGGATACTGGTGTGCACTGACGTGATGGCGAGAGGTATCGATGTTCCCGACATAGACTGGGTCATTCAGTATGACCCTCCTTCGTCAGCGACTGCGGTTGTGCATCGATGCGGTCGAACTGCGAGGAATGGACAACCCGGTAAAGCTCTTCTCATGTTGCTCCGCGAAGAGGATGCTTACGTGAAGTTCCTGTCATTGAATCAAAAAGTGAGCAAATGTACAGAGAAAATCGTCTTGGACAAGATCTTCGTAGAGAGAGAGAGTCCACATGTAAAATGTTTTGCTCGGTGATTAAAACGATGCGTTCATCTTGTTTTTTCCAGGTTCATTTAGAGAAAATGGAAACATTCGTGACAGACACTGTGGACGCGGATGGGAATGTTCTCATGGATCGCCTAGAGGCCTTGAGTTCAACCAAGAAGCTCTTGGCTAAAGACCACGGTTTGATTGACAAAAGTTCACGGGCCTTCGTCTCCTTTGTCCAGTTTTACATGAAACACGAGTGCCATGTCATTTTTCAACTCAAAAACCTGGACCTTGGTCGACTGGCCACGGGTTTTGGGCTACTCAAGCTCCCGAAAATGCCCGAGCTCAAGAAGATGGATTCGTCTTCTTTTATTCCGGAGAAGCTGGATGTTAATCGAGTGCCGTATCGGTGAGTCTCGTGTCATTCTTTCTGCTTGAATCTTTGGAGCATTTTCACGAAGTTGAAAAATTAGTGATCAGCAACGCGAGAAGATGCGGAAGGAGAAGTTCAAGGTGTTTTCGGAAACCGGGCTGTGGCCGTTGTCCAAGAAGAAGTTGAAGGAACGAGCGCGTTTTGCGGAAATCAAGAAGTTGAACGAGGAACGAAAGCGGGAAAGAATTTTGGAGTTCAAGCGGAAGCGGAAACGAAGCAAATCCGCCCAGCCTCAAAAACTGACCGAAGTGGAGAAAGAAGAGCTGGACGGCGACATTAAACTCATGAAGAAGCTCAAACGCGGTCACGTGAGTTTCCATTCGCCGTTTTCTACCCACTGTGAGACGATTCCTTTGACTGAGGACTCTCTTTTTATTTTTTCTGCAGATTTCGAAAGAAGTTTTCGACGCTGAATTTTGCGGAGACGAAGTGGCTACTGCGTGAATTTTAGGCTGTGATACGGACTGCTCTTTGATCGCGAGAATGAAGACAATTTTCACGAGACTCGTCGTTGAAATCCTTTCACGCTTCCCCGTATGACCTTGTTTCGTGGGATTGCAAGCAGATGTCGCCTGTATCAAGGAGAAATAAGTCTATGAAACCGGAGCTGACCTAACCTACAGTGGACCCATTGTTGAGAACCCCCTCGATTAACTAGTTTTGATTGTAAGAAAAATCCTTTGGTTAACAAACCGAAATTTGGTTAATGAACTTCTGTTCTCTGGCAAAAGTTCCGAATTACTTTATTACACTGAACTTGTAGGGTACAATCTTAATAGCAGTTACAAGGGACAAATGGAGCAGAAAAGTTCTTTGTCAGACTGAAGGCTTGCACAACATTTTCTAAAGTTTGGTTTTACATTAAGCGAGTGAATGAGGATGTTCCTTTTTTAGAGCAGAATCAATTGATATCCGGCTGTAAGAAGCTTTATACAAAGGCACTTTCAGACAGATTTTTCTAGTTGTTTCCAGACTTTTCCATTCCTCAACTGCTAAATTTGTTCTGTAGTTTAAGCATTGTAAAATTAACATTTCATTTTCTGGTGACGGTTATCTTCCAAATATGTGAATTTTTTTCTGGATGTCAAGATGTTTTGAATGTTGATTTCATGGGTCATACTTCCATCTATTCTGAGCCTAGAAAACATTGTGGACATGCACAGGATGCCGCAGTGACTCATTCTGATTTTATTTTTGTCCTAAATTTCTTAATTCAATTTTTAATAGTATTTGGGTGCCATGAATCAATTAATTGGTTCTCGACTGAAGTGTGCGAGAAAATGAAAGTCGTTTGACAAGCCTCAGTCTGGAACCGATTAAGTTTGTTAACTGAGGGTCCACTGTATTCCAATCCTCACTTGAAGCGTTCAAGCTTGAAGATGACGTGATTGTAGAAACGACGTAGAAGCACAATAATTTTTAGCAAGTTCCGATCGACGCGTGTTGAACGGTGAAGAAAATCTCGGAAGAAGCCTGGTACAGAATCCCCGGGAAGAAACAGATGTCACCAGCAGCGATGTTAATGAAGTCCGAGTTGTAGCCAGGTTTTGTATCGGTAATAGTCGGGATCTTCTTGGCTGGAAGAATCTCCGTGTTGAAATAATTCCATTGGCCACCGTGAACTAGATTTTCTTTTTGATGATCGTTCGGGGTGCCGTGATCTCCGGAAGAAGCACTCAGGGATCAGAACTGGTAGGTGCACAAGCTCCTGGAGAGGAAAATTGATGAGCATTCACCTGACTTCGAATGATGCTTTGTGCATTTTTTATTTGTCCCATCTTGTAAATCAAAACACTGAATTTTAAAAACGAAGCAGACTTCAAAGCTTTTTGTTTTATTCCAAGAAAATGTAGGTGACCTGATAATGTATCTGTATCTGCTGAGGAGTGAGCGGGAAAATTTTGATTTGTTTGCGAACGAATTAAAAATGATTATAAATGAGTAATCTATAATCAAGAGCACTAAAATAATACAGAACAAAGAGAGAAATTGAAAAAATACTTTGCTGATGGTTTCGCTGTGTAGGTTCATTTCTTTTACCTACATTCAAAAGTCCTCTATACTTAGTCTGTAGCAGTGTTCCCCAACCACCGGCGCCGGTCTGCAGAAGTTTCTTGCAGGTCCGCGGGAAATTTCCCCAGGCTAATGAATTTTTTGAAAGTAGCAATGAAGGACATTACAGTATCTTTATTTTAAATTTTGGAAAGATAATGGCAGCTGAAATTATCTGATGAAAAATCTACAGTATCTTGGTTTTTCTTCCATAATGATACTTGAGACAATTTGTTTACCTGATCTAGTAAATAATTTTAATTTTTGAGCCTGAAAAACCCTTCTTCAAGCCTACACTTCCATTTTTTGAATACATTCCACTATAGCTGCTTCATTGGTTCTTGACTCAATTTTGGCAAAAAAAATTAGAAGCTTTTCAAATACTGTACCTGTCATTCAAGCTGTCTTTCATGCAAAAAGTTTTTGAGTATGCAAACAATTTTTTACATTTGCTGTTCCTCAGTAAATTTTATTAAACTTTGCTGGTCTGCAAAAATTTTTATGAAAAGGGTTGGGGAACACTGCTTTATGTAGAACCCCAAGGAACAAATTCATGGAATGAAGAAAAAAGGCATGATTTGGTTAGTGAAGTTCCCAAACTTTCATCATCTTGCAAGATGAGTGCACAATTTTGGCCATCATCCAGAAGTTGAAAATGTTCATAATGTCGCATGCTGAACACTGTTCTAAAATTCCACACATACAAAAATCAACAGAAATCCAAGGAAGAAAATGAAATATGTTTGACTTCTCCAGACTCCTAAAGTGGATTGAACTTCAGCCAGGTCAGAGGCTGCATTGACTTTGAGCAATTCTTGTCTGTATTTCTTATTTTGATACACTTGCGTGCAGTCGACTGACAACTTTAAAAGTTTAAAACATATTAAATATTTGTCTTTTCAGCTGTAATTCAAGTTACCTCGAACGCAGAACTGTCCTGGTCCAGTGAACAAACCCGTCTGAGAAGCACGAAGGACGGATATTTCACTGCAGTGACTCTAGCACTGATGGAGGATACACTGCACAATAACCATGTCAGGAAGAATGTCCTTGAATGCATGGGTCTACTTCTGTGCGTATTTTGCTACCGCGTGTGATAGTAGCGAGAACTGGGTCGCTTTTGTGATTCCGATATGCAAAATAAATCATTTTGGGAATTATTTCACTCCTATTTACTATACCTAGCCTTCCAATGAGCAAGAACTGGGGTTTTTTTTCGCCTTATTGTTTATATACAGCTGAGAGCATATAGCTCACCGCTGTAAAAACGCCAGGGAATTCCGCATCTTTTGTTAGAAAGTTATACACTGTTTTTCTTGAGTTCCATTTTCACCCTTTTTTTCCTCAAATTCAACAGGAAAAAAGGGGATGTTCTTCATATTGATGGGTGTACATTAAAAAAGGTAGAAATTTACTCATGCATTTTTTGTACTTGATTCTACGAACGTAAGTTTAGGACCAATTTTAACAGTAAAACTTCTTGTACTGGATAATATAGATAATTGATAAAATTCAGGTTCAATAAATTTCTAAATTCATATTTGGGTCTTCTCATCCTTGAAGTAATGTAGTTTTAGATTCACTAAAATTCGGGTGTTAGTGGCATACATGTGATGAATTGAAAAAGCTTGATGCATGTCTTACTTGAGGTTTGCCTGCGTTGTACTCAAGTTTTAATGCAGTACAATACACAAGTCCACAACAATTTCCTGGGGACCAGGAACAAATTTGTTCTAAAGAGAATTTTGTTGTAAATAGCCTTTATACAGGTTGGGTTAGAAAAAATTCTTGATGCATATGCTGTTGAATGGAAAGAAGCATGTTTGGTGAAGAACAAATCAATAGATCACCAGGAACAGCCAAGCAGAAATTATTATATTCTGTACATACGTAACAGAAGCGCACAAACCCAACGAAGGAGTAATTCTGAAACAAAAAGGCTGCAGTAATAAAAGCAAAAAATTAGATGGTACGTATGGAGATGCTATTACTGTATAGGTCTTGATTGAAAGGAAAAAGAAGAACTAAACATAAAACCATTGTAATACTGCATAGACAAATCCAGAAGAACAAATAAGTAACTATACTAGCTGTATACGTGCTGAATGTACCCAAGAATACCTAAACTGAAGAAATTTGAAACTCAATTTCTTCCACCTTCTTATTAGAATAGTTACAAATGTCTAATTTGAAATGCTGTATATTTTTTTCTGCTACCCATTTCTGTTTGGCCTCTGCATATAACAGTAGCTGAGGTATCAAAATTTTGCTGGAAATGAAATTGTTCAGTTTGGTAGGCTAGGTTAGTTTAAATATTTAATATTTTTACACTTTCTATTTATTGCAACCAATGCGCTACTGAAATAAATACTGCTCAGCATTGGAGTTATTGAAGAGAAGATTGTCCCCTAAATACGGGAATTGAGAACTGCCAGCTGACCCTGGATGGGAGGGGGCAAGCAGTGTCCCTGTTGTAAGGCACCCATGTTGTCTAAAATGAAAGTCAGGTTTTCAGGGCAAAACCTCCAGCAAAAAACTTCCAACCTGGAAGTTCCAGGGTGGAATTACTCCATTGCACAACAAAGCCCTTATTTTCCCTCCTTCATTTTCTGGTTTCAGTTGAAAGTTTGTTTGTCTCTTGTTGGCATGGGAGCTTGCTGCAAATCTACTTACTCAGTGTGGTATTGGAATTCATTTGTGTTTATTGAGGAAGTTATTATCTTGTCTGCTTTTTTTTGGGATACTTACTGAAGTATATCCCATGCCAAGTTCCCTGCTGGTGGATTGTGAACTACATTTATTTCTTGTTCAATATTTTGGTCTTTGTGGGCTTTGCCCCACACCTGTGACATTGATAAATTGTTTTAGACCTCTCCTTATAATATGACGATGCTTTCAAATTGCTGTTAAATATATGTGTCATTTTTCTTCACTATTTTGGAATCCAATATAAGTTGTGAATTTTTAAAGGAATGTAATTGCAACTTGATAAATTTAACCCTCGATAGACCAGTAAATCCTCCATATACATACAAAAGAATTGCAACACTATAATATCATGCCATGTTCAGTACCCCATTGCAAATCTATGTATACAGTACATCCAGAATAAGGGAACGGCAGACGTGTTGATCTGTCATTAATGGTGGCCTGCACATACCTTACGCGCGCTTTTTGTCTGATTTGGGAAAGTCGTAGTGATCAATCCAGGTTTGAAGGTACACTATACGCAATGCTTCAATGGATAGGAACTATATTTCAACCAGAAGTGTATCATTTCAGTTCGGGTTGTGATGGTACAGTTACTTTATTGCCGATGCGTATCAGAGACTGTGCTGCATGCTGGTGGCTTGGTGGGATTCAAAGAGCGCGCTCGCAGCACGATCAACATGTGACGGTATCTTTGTGCTGAGATAGTGTGCTTGTTAATTGAGGATGAACGTGCTGTTAGA